GTAATTAAGTGAAGTTCTGGTGCTCCCTGCTGGTGCAGGCGTTGCGGGGTCTGTGGTTCCTGAGGGCTGCAGTGGCTCCTGCTCCTGCCCCGCACCTTGGGGCATGGAAAAAGGTTTAAAAACCTTAAAATCTTATGGGACCCTCCTCCCTTACCTTTTTTTTTGTTTGTTTTTACAGAAGCCAGGTTGCACTAAAGCACTTTAAAAACAAACAAACAAACCCAAGCAGCTCTCCTTCACCAACACCTGGCACAGCGCTTGGCTCGCTTTGGGGAGAATTTCTGGCAGCCTTGAGATTTGGGGGCAGAACCATGGAAGGGCTTAAGGAGGTGAGCCTTAAGGAGCATCTTCCAGTTCGGGTGGCTTTTGGGAGCCTCTGGAGGATGGGGGCTCCAAGCTGCTCCACCACAGCCAGCTGGCCCCAGTGGGCAATGTGTTTTTTAGCAACACAGCCCTCACTCCCACCTGGGAAAAGCCACCTCGGGAAGAATTCTTGCCTGGGTCTGTGCTTGGATGCCACGAAGCTGATTCTTTCCGTTCTGTTTTCAGATGGTACATCCAAACAAAGCCTGAGGGCTGGATCAAAAGGGATGTTTGAGAAATCCCCATGCATGAGCAGCGACAGCCGAGGAATGCAGGGCTGCTGAGGCGCGGTAGCTGCGTGGGGCTGGGCTGAGGTTGTGTGAGCAACCTCAGTGCTGGTGCTGCTTCCTCGGGGGCCTGAGCATGCCACTTGGTTATTCTGTTCATGTAAATTTTGTAGTGAAATTGGTGTCCCTTTGGTGGGAGCTCTCAGCCCTGGAGGAGCTACGGGGGAAGCAGATTTGCTGCTTCGTGCCCAAGTCGTGTGCGGGGAGGTGGTGCTCGGGGGGATGAGGTTGGAGGTGTCTGTGCTTCTCCTTGGGAAAGACTGCTGGCCTTCGGTGGTGCTGCTGGTGGTGGCAGGAGATGTGCACGGAGGGCAGAGTAGCTTCTGCTGCTTTTGGCTCTGCTCAGTGCTACCATTTTGCACATGAGCATCAGGTTTGGAGTGTGCTCGTGCATCACTTAGGTGCTCGCTGCCTCTCTTCTGCCACCTCGTTTCCAAGCAGCGTGCCTGCTAAGGGAGCCCAGTCTGTGTCAGCTGCCCTCTCGTAAGGCGACCCTAACTCCAGGCTGTCTTTTTGGGGGCTGTTCTGTGCAGGTCCCTCGCCTCGGTGCCGCGCTGGCTGATTCTGGTCTGCTGGCTGCACGTCGTCCAGGCTCTTGGAATCGCTTTGAGGTTGTGGCTCTGTGGCTTGCAGCAGTATGTGCAGTGTGTGTTGGCAGATGACTTAAATACTTCTGAAAGGCTCTGTTTTTCTAGGTCGTTCCTATATGAAGTCGATAAAACTGGCTCTGTTTCTGACCTGCGTGTCACTCCTGTACCCACAGCTCTTCACTCAAGGTGCCTTTTCACTGAAATGCTGCCTTTTGAAAGCAGTTTTTAGAATCTATTTCAGGAGCCCTCTGCGCCCCGTGACTTCTTTTCCTGTAGCTCCACGCTGTGCTGCATTTCTTGAAAAGCCCAGGCTATGGTTACACCTCCGAGCCTTCCCGAAGAGCACCGAGATGACGGAGAGCGTGGCTGCGGCTGCTGCAGGAGCTCAGCGCGCACCCAGCCCCATGCAGAGCCCAGGACCCATCCTGCTTGCTGGCCGTGCTCGCCGTGCTCTGTGCCACCTGGCTGTGGCTCTGCTGCTGGCAGAGGCTCCAGATGTGAGACAGATGCAAGACAGAGGTTGCCCTTGGCTCGTGGTCCTCATAAAAGGCGAGAGCAAACACCCGTCAGCGGGAGAGCGCGCAGATATGTTCGGGGATGGTCCACGTTTTGCTTTGCACGAGGGTGTTTGGACAAAGATTTTTAAAACGCTGGGAGGAACGAGGACATCTGAAGGCTAGAGGGAGTTGCAGGATTTAACGCAGAGCCCAGAGGCAGCAGAGCAGCACTGGGGAGAGCAGAAAAGCAAATGGGTAGGGGAAAACGAAGTGCTGGGGCTGGCTGCTCCGAGCTGGGCTCACAGCAGGCTGGAGGAGGCCAGCGTGAAGGCACATCCCCATCTCCTGGCTGTGCTCATGCAGCGGGGTTAGGGCAGTCAGAGGTCAAGCAATGGGAAACATCAAGGCAGGGGTGGGAAGAGGTGTCAGAGGGGCGCTGCAGAGCTTTAATCTGCTTATTACATCTTTTTAGTCATTTATTTATTTATTTCACCGTAATTTCACCGGATGGTACAACAAATGTCCCACGGCAACAATTTGTGTATGTTCCACACCAGCTACGTTATCTTGGTAAAACTGCTGTCCCATTAATTTACCCAACACTTTATGCAGGTGTCGGGCACACTGCGTGAGCAATGCGTGAGTATTCCGATCAAGTCAATTAGTGCAATTAATTTGGGAAAAAGACATGACCTATAGCGTACAGCTCGGGCTGCTTTGTGGTGCCAGGGGCGTGGGGAAGGGGAAGTGAAGGGGAGCAGGGGATTGGCTGGGATTTGGACGTGGGCTGTGTGCTCCCTCCCATCCCTCCTTGCCGGTGGAGCCGCAGAGCTCGGTTGGGTTTGGGGCTCTTTTGGGCAGGAATTTGGAAGCTTAATGCGGCGCATTGTGCTGGGAGGCTTGCAGGCAAGCTCTCCATGGCAACTCGCCCTATACACAAAGCACCATATGGCTTTTTAGGAGGGGGAGGGAGCGAATCGAGCAGGGAAGTCAACCTGTGCTGCTTGTTTTGTTCGGCTTTGCTCTCCAAGTGGAGCAGGGGGAGATGGAAACGTGGGGCGCTGCCCCCTGGGCATGGCTTCTGCTCCGCCAAGGCGCCGTTGGGGACCTCTCAAAGGGCCTCTCCTTGCTCTCAGTGATGGAGCTCGCTGTGAAAATGAGCCCTGTGTGCGCACAGACCCCTCTGCAGGCTGCTCGCTCTGCAGACAGATGGAGCAACCAGCCTCCTGCTCGCCCTGCACCAAGAAACACCCGAAGGGCTCCAGCAGCGCTCGCTTTGGGCAGGAGCCGCGATGGGGACGACTGCAGGCGGGGAGCTGCTTGTGCCACGGCTGCCCACGCTTTGTGCCTCTGCTTCCAGGGGGAGCTGGAAGCCTTCTCTTGACTGTAAATCCTCCCTTTTCGAGCTCCTTAGGAAGGAAGGAGCCTGAATAAATACCTTTATCTGTGTCTGTAGAAAATCAGGTTTTCACGTGTCTAGTTTGAGGGGGAGGATGAAAAATTGGTAGTGGGGTAAGCAGAAAGGAGCAGCCTGTGCCTGGCTCTGCCTGCTGCAGGGCACGCGGTGGTTCTGGGGGTGCTGCAGGGTGCTGGTGGGGTGGGGTGTCCTCCAGCAGTGCCGTTGTGCTGTCCCAGGAGCGGGCAGAGGCTCCCCTGGGTGAGTCCTGCTCCCGGGGCTTCGCACCCCGAGGGTCCCTGTCCCCATCCCTGTCAGCAGGGAGCCTCTTGCATCTGAGCAGAGGCAGGGGTAATTAGTGGGAACAGTTGATTGCAGGCTGCAGGGCGCTCTGTCCAGGTGAAGGTAGCAGAAGGCGGCCTGAGGTTGCCTCCTCCCTGCCCTGGGGTGGGAGCACAGCCCCCGGTGGCACCGCTCGCCCCGGGGCTGTCAGCAGGGAAAGCAGCAGGGATGGCGAAGTCGTGCCCCACAAACCAGAGCACACAGCATCGTAGAATCACAGAATATCCCGAGTTGGAAGGGACCCCAAAAGGACCACAGAGTCCAACTCCTGCTCCAACTCCAGCACCTTTCTTCTGCTGAGGCCACCACCCCGTGGCACGCTTGCTGTAGAGCGAGTCGGCGTACCCTGGCTTCTGGAAAACTAATTTGGCTTGATCCTCATTTTGTTTTGCAGTCCCAAAAGCCCCATTCCCAGGCTGGGGGGCTCGCGTCAGGCCCCGTGCTGGCTTCTGGCAGCCCCAAACTGCTGGTGGCCATCAGGCCCAACCACAGAAAGAAGGCGGTGTGCGCGCTCCTGTCCGTGTGGCCACACTGCCTGGCCGCGGCACGGCTCGTAGCCACCTCCCAGCCTGCAAGGGGTCTGGCCATGCCACCAGCCCGCTGGGAAGCCACCAGCCCGAAGGATTCATAAGTCTCCTCCTGTCTTCTGCCTCCAGCAGCGATGCACAAAGCCTGTGTGATCGTGGAGCCTCCCCGGGAGCGCCGGCATTACGGCGCCCCTTGCCTGGCCAAGTCGATCGACATCAGACGAAGCCGGTGCCTCAGCGCTCGCAGCTCCGAGGCGTGTGGTTTAGAGCCCGCTATTTATTTTGGGACTGCAGCCTCTGAGCTCGATTTGGTGTTTCCAGGCTGTGATCTAGGTCGCCTGCTGGATCAGGCATTAGCTGTTGCTTGAGGGAGCGCGGGGAATTTGCGCGCGCTTCCTCCGGCAAAGGGCTCGGAGAAACGCCGACCCGCTCGGCTGCAGATGTGTTTGGGGGTGGGAGGAATGCAGTTTTTTAAGAAATCTCCTTGAAAACCTCCTATTTTCCTGTCCTCCTGTGAGGATGGCTCCTGATGCAGCTGGTCACGGGAGGAGCAGGAGATGACAACAGCTTCGGTGCCGCCTGCCTTCTCTGCTGTTCCCATGGTAGTTGGCTGTCACACACAGAACTAATGTATTCCCTGCCCACAGCAGGATTAGAGCCTTCTGGGAGGAGAAGAAGAAGGGGATGCAGGAAACAGACATAGGGAAGAAACCAGGAAAAGAAACGGAGACCATGGCGGGGTGGGGACGAATCCAGGCGCTAGCCCCGTGGGAGCAGCAAAGGGCCTCGTAGGACCTCTGCCAGGAGCAGCCACCCAAATTGCCTTCCCCCCTCCTGGAGGTGGGGTGCCTGGAGGCAGGGCTCCTTCCCGAACACCGAAGGCACCAGTGGGTGCAGAAGGAAATTCTTGTCCTTCTGCTGCCGCGTCTCCCAAAGCTGCCCGTCGTTCGGGGGTGCGGGTTTCCTTTCGGTGATTCTGTTTCTCTTTCCCTCTGCAGACCCCGACAGCCAGCTGTATGATATGGGATATACCCCCGAGGAGGAAGCCCCGGCCTGTCCTGATGAATTTGATGACTTCGTCACGTTTGAGGCAAGTACGAATGCTGCTAACACCCGTGGGCATCAGCTTTGTGCCGCGGGAGGCAGCTCCTGGAGCAGCTCGCCATGCCACGGCTCGGGGATTTTAACGCTTGGTCGGGACGAAACCTTTCAGCTGTGGGTGACTGGGCCAGGGAATTTGCACCGAGCACTTGGTGCTGTTTAATTTAAAGGTGGTGTCCAAGTGAAAACCTGCTCGTTGCTAGCACTGTCTGAGCTTGCAGAGTGCCAGAGCGCGGTGCCCTGGGTGCGGGGCGGGTGCCTGCCGTGGTTGCGTTTGTGTCCTCGCTGGAGCTGCTGCCCTTGCAGAACGTGAGCCCAGTTTTGGGATGAGCCAGCTGGGAGCCTGCCCCCGAGGCCCAGCGGGCACTTGGTGCCATCCGGCCAGCAGAAGACAAATTGTAGGTTTCCTCTTTGTTCTTGGGGTTGATTGAGGATGCTTAGTGCTGTACTTCCTTCCCTTTGCTGACGTTGTGGTCCCCATCCCTCCGTTCCCTCCTGCACTCCTTAGCAGAGGAGCACGCTGCAGGAGGGCCCTGTAGCCCCGGCTAGGAGGGAGGCTGCCGTTCGTTGTCTGTGGGGTTGGGGCTTTGCTTTGTGAGCTTCCTCCTTGCTGCTGTGCCCCACAGCCTGGAGCAGGAGGTGCTGCCCGTGCCTTCAGAGCAGGGGCCTGCTGGTCCTTGGGTCCCCCGGGGGGACTGAGTGGCTTCCTTCTGCTCGTCCTTCTTCAAGCTTTCCTCTGCGGGTTTTTGACTCATCTCCGTACCCTAGGTTTTACGTTTTTGTCGTGGAAACAGTGACTTGAAAAGGGCTCTTTGAGATTTGCATGTAAATGCACATCCTTGCTTTGTGTAGTCCCTAATATGTTACCCTGGCCTTCGTGATAACGGGGCTGAAACTATTCCTTTGCCTTTCCTGACAATATATTGGGATCTGGGCAACTTCCTTTCCCCCTGTTCATGAGAAGCACGTGTCCATCGCTTGACACGTCTCAGAGCTGTCCCTTTGCCACCCGGTGCCAGCAGCACACGTCCCGGCCAGGCGCAATTTCTGCTGAGCCCTTTGGCTGCCCGGGCTCAGCGCGTCAGGCTGACACCGCCACCCGGAGCGGGTCACTTGTTCCCTTGGCCTGACGAGCTCGTGACCCTGTGTCCCTCCACCAGAAGGCTTTCCAGGGCACGTTGGATCTGAGATTATTTTTCCATGGGCTGAGGTGCTGTCGTTGTCTTCATCTATGGCTTGTGCGGAGGGCGTAAGATAATTTTGGCACTCTCTTTTTTCTGGGGGGTCAGGGTGGTTACAGCTACCCAGCGACAGCGGGATAGAGAAGGGGGGCAGGAAGGCAGGACAGGACGCGGGTTTTCATATTCCTCCCTCTGTACTGCACGAGGTCACAAATGGGTTTTATTCTGTTTGCTTTTTTTTACCCACCGAGCTGAGCGCTGAGCAGTTCAGAGGCTGTGACGCCCCAAGTCGCAGCACTCGTGCAGGCAAAGGCTTTGGTTTTTGCTCCTCAGACCTACATCATGGGACGATGGCGCTGCGATTCAGAGATGTTTTCGAAGGGCTAATTTAACACAGATGAGCTCCAGCAGTGCTGCAAGCTGCTCTGGGCAGGAATACCAACAAGCCGGGTGCGTGCCCCACCGCGATGGAGCGCTTCTGCCCCTGGGCCACTGGTTCCTTGCGACGACAAGGTGAACCGAAGGAAAAAGGTGATGAATCCTGAAATCGCCTTTTCAGAAAGATGGCAATGGATTATGCTGCTGAAATCAGGGTAATCTCGAAAAGATCAGAGCTCTGTTGGTGTCTGTGTTTAATATGCTGGGGAAGAATTACCCTTGTTGTCTTGGATACGTGGTTCCGAAATACTCTCCAGCCTGCAAGGATTTTGTAGAGATCTCAGCAAATGAGAACATGATCGAGAAATACCGCTCGGCGTTGCGAGTGTAAAAATAAACTGGTGTCTTGGGGCGTGTGTTTTTTTGTGCTCGTTTCGCTGAGCTCCCAACGTGCACTTTATTCCCCTTGTCCTGCGGAGCCGTGCCCTGGGCAGCGTGAGCTGTGTCGGGGAGGGTGAGAGGAGCGGTGCAGGGGGCATCCTGCTGGGAGCTGCAGCCGAGGGGTTTTCATCGCTGTGCAGCGGAGCCCAGCAGGACCTGCGGCAGGCTGGGCTGGGCTGGGTGCAGCAGGGAGCTGTGGAGATGGTGAGACAGCAAACAGAACAAACAGCAGCGACAGCAAACGGAGCAAGTGGCCGTCCCCAGGACATGTTCCGCCTTGCCTGGATCCACCTGGAAGAGAGGAGGGGGGAAAAAATCCTTCTGAAAGCGAAGGCGTTGCCTTTCCTCTGAACAAACCTCCCCCCACGCATCACCAAAAAGCGTTTTGCATGGGAATGTCCCCGTTTCAGACCTGGCAAGCTGGTGCACAGCGAGCATGGGGCTTGAAAATGTGCTTCTGCGTGGGACCTCCGGGCAGCTAAACCACCTCTTGGAGGCCACCGCTTCCTTCTCAGCCTCTACACGAAGGCTTTTGCGCCACGGGTGAGCCCCTCTTGCTTCAGCAGGGTGGTGGGGCCAGGGGTACAGCCAGCTTTTGGCCTTTTGTCACGTCTGTGGACCTTCTAAAGGCAACCTGGAGGAGTGGTGCTGTGCCAGGCGCTGCGAGCAGTCGCGGTTATTGTGTCTGGGGTTTCGGCCCTCGTCCCTCTTAGCCGGGGAGAATCACAAGGGCTCGAGTGCTTGGCTCTTCCGAGTGCCGAGGCCTTGACAGAGAGCTCCTCTCCTAAATGTTTGTTCAAACAAGTGTAAACAAGAGCTTCGAGCAGTCTAAATGAAAATACCTTCCCTTTGTTGATAAGGTTGCTCCTCTCGGTGACTCATCCCCTCTGCTGGTGCTTGAACATCTGCAGAAATCCCCGAGGATCCAGCACTGGTGTCTCTCAGCGAGTGTTTGCCCTGCAGAGGGAGGAGAGCCACCGCTTGCACCTTGGAGTAAGGGCAGAAAAGCCTCTTGCAGGAGACGAGGTCTGAGCTTTGCCGCTTCGCACAGGGACTCAGCCCCGATGTGATCAGCTCGGCTTGGAGAGAGAGGGCAGGGACAGAGAGAGAGGCGGTAGGCAAAAACCGATGTGGAGGAGAGCGCGGTGTTTTTATGTTGTATTTGGGTGAGGCTTGGGCTTTCTGGAGTCAAGGGAAGTCCCCAGCAGGGCCAGCACACGGCGGAGCAGAGCGTAAGCCCTGGGGCAGCGCAGAGGCAGGCAGCGGGAGCGAAGGAGCGTGCACAGGGAGCACGGAGCTGCTGGCTCCTGCTGTGCCCTGCCAGCTCCGGTCCCTCTCTTAAATGGTTTCCAGAGAGGATTTCTGGTCGTGTACCTCTGCTGAGACAGCAGTTCGGAGGGGATCAGAAATGCAGGAGCCTGGTTTCCTGCAGCCACGTGGCGTTTCGTTCATCAAGTGGTGCCTGCAGGGGCTCCCTGCCATCCGTAGCTGCGCTGCCACGCGTGCCGAGGGAACCTCATCCCTTGCTCACCTGGCTCCGGGGCAGGGACAGCATCCTCTTCATCCCCTCGTGGGGCCACGTGCCTGCTGGCAGCCCCACGTAGTGCCTCCCTGCCTGACCGTGGCTGCAGGCAGCTCTCTGCTCCGGCAGGGAAACGTCACCTAACAATAATCCCAGCGGCTTGGCCACCCTGCAGAGCAGTGCAAAAGGACCTCGGAGTCCGACTGGCACCCAAGTCCTTTTTGGCTTTCCCCCAGGCTGGGCTGGTGCAGCCTCGCTGCTGACTAACGGGGAGGTGGGAGTTATCCTCACCTCCCTTTGCCAGCTGGGCGGCATCAAGCTGTGCTGGTGACTCACGCCCGAGGTACGGGGGCTCCTTTGCAATGCCCTGCGAGGGGGGGGAAGGTGAATTTGGAGTTAGCTTTCTTGATGCCTGCTGTGCCCTGCGCCCAGGACAGAGCCCTCTGCCCGACCTGCCCCGTCTCCTGGGGGCAGCTGAGCCCGCCGGAGCAGTGCAGAGCATCAGACGATAACAGAACGATTCTCCCAAAATGAAAGCAAACCACAAAAATTTGGTGTGCTGCCAGAGTTACTGGGCACGGAGATTTGTAACCTTAGGTGGGTCGGAGGAGAGGCAGAGCCGGTGCAAGGCTGTGCTCTGTAAAGGCTGGCCGGGAGTGTGATAAACAACACAAACGCCCATTTCAGCCATGGCAGCTCGCGATTTGGGCCAGCCTGATGGCAGGAAGGCCCTCGAGATGTGCAAAACGGGGCAGCCGAAACTGCAGAAGGTGAGGGGCGTAGAGGAGGAGCGGGGCTGTGTGAGGGTTTGTGGGGCTGTGCATGGTGTGCAGGGCTGTGTGATGCTGTGCAGGGTGTGCAGGACTGTGCAGGGCTGTTGCCATCTGCTGGGCAGTCGCTGGGGCTCCCCGTGGTAGGGGAAGGATGCGAGGAAGGATGCATCGCAGCCACCAGAGGGGTGCTGTGCGTTCTCAGGACAGCAGCGCTCAGCAGGCGAGCAGCGGCGCTCACCGGACACGTGCACCCTGCAAGCCTTATCCCCAGCTTGTCCCCTGGGCTCAGTGTTCAGGAGCAACTCACGGCACAGCTGTAGTGGGTCTGGGGAGGAAAGCAGTCTTCAGTGGGGTCATGCAGTCTTTGATGGGGTCCTGCAGTTCTTTTTGGGGTCCCACGTCTAGTTTTGGGAGGGGGGTGCCCCTGGATATCCCAGCCGCCCTGTCTGCAGTGAAATGAGCTGGCGGTTGCTGCAAACTGTTGCATTTGTTGGAGCTGGAATTTCTTTTCACGTGGAGTAATTGAATTGAATGCTTCTGGAAGGGTGTAAAAACCAGAGGGAGGCAATTTAAATCCACGCTGCTGAATTTCTCCGGCTGCCTGGGGATTGAAGGCTGGCACGACCCGAGCTGTGTGGTGGTGATGGGGGAGCTGTAGCTGAATCACAGCCTGCAAGAGCAGCTCACGGGCACAGCGACCACCGCTCCTCTTGGTTTGTGCCTCGCAGTGGGCACATGGGGGTGGTTTTATCTCCTCCTGGGCCCTGTGGACCTTCTGAGCACCCCTTCCTTACTGCAGGCTGCCCTAGGAGCTGTTTCCCTTGCACCAAGGCACAGAGCTGGCTGCTGAGCTCAGGCAACATTTGCAGGAGGTGGCAGCTCAGCTCAGGCTTTCCCTTCTCCTACCACTGCCTTTCCCTGTCTGGTAGGACCGGCCTCTGCAGGCTCCCATGCACGGGAGCCCCAAAAACTCATCGTGTCCGAACAGAAGGTGATCACCAAACCCTCTTCAAGTCAGTTGCTGGAATTAGCATCGCTTTGGCCATAAAGGGCTGCTGCACTCAGAATCTCTGGTGTGGCTGGAACTGCAGGAGCGTGAAACACAATGGATGCAGCTTTGTCTGCTCGTCCATCCATCCCCTAGGGGAGCCCACGGAGCCTCCCTGCCCCACAGAGCAGCAGCAAAGGCAGCCCCGGTCGTGCAGAGCTCTCGTGTGCACAGCAAACAAGCCAACAGCTGGTGTTATCTGCAGTGATTAGGCACAGAAAACACGGCGATTGCTAAAACTGCTGGATCAAACTCCAAAATCTGGCTCTGCCGACAACCTTGGAAGAAGCAGCTTGAAAGTACCAAGGAAAGTGATGTAGTGTACGGACCTCAGCACTGCTTAGGGTAAGGGGTGAGAGGTGGGAAAATCGGGCACGAGTGTCCCTGTAGTTCAGGCATGCTGTGAGAAATATCCTTGGTTGGAAGAGCTCCCAGTCGTAGTGTTTGCCTTGTGCGAGATAAGGTGGAAGGAGTTTGGAAAACAAGGACCTTGAAGCTTTATCTTGAGCCGCGAGCATGGCCGTGGGACCCGGAGAGGCAGGAGCTTGGGGCTCGGGGTGGCCAGGAGCGCATCAGGCAGCTCCAGGAGGCAAAGCTGTCTCAGTAAGAGTTCCCAAAGTAAAACTGGCAGCGCTTGGTGCCTCCCGACGAGCCTTGCCTTGTGGTACAGAGGTGCTAAAAGGCCCCTGAGGTCCCACAGCGCAAGCAGGGGAGCTGAGGGAGCAAAAGGGCTGTGACCCCGCTCGGTTAAGTGGCAGATCTGGATGGAGCCAGGGCAGGAGCTCGGGTTAAACCATAACTGTGCTGCTGCTGTGCTCGGTACCAGAAATCCCTGAGCACAGAGGGTCGCCTGGTTATCGAGCAAGACGCTTCCTGCTGGTGTTGCCGGAGCAGAAGGTCCTGCTTGGGGCACCGTGCTGCAGGAAGGATGTGTCCCAGAGGGGAGCAAGAATAGCCCGGAGAAAATGTGATTTGTGAAGGTAATGGGAAGAAATGCTCGTTTGTGCTGGCTCTCGTGACCGAGGGAGACCAAAGTTCAACGATGGGAAGTTTCTGTAGGGGGAAGGAGCAGGGTTTTTGGTATCTCCTGCACAATGCAAGAGAGGGTGTAGCCGAAGTGGGGAGGGTTAGGAGAGACACCAGGGAGCGACTTTCTGATCAGCAGCAAAGCTCGGATCCGTTGCTTGGAGCGAGGGGAGAGGTAGGACCTTGGGATGGAGGTTTGGGGGACCTGTCAGATAAACTGTGCTAGAAATGGTGAGCTGTGCTCCTGATCTGGAGCAGGACAGCGAACCAGGATGGGCTGAGCTCCTTGTTCCGTGCATTCGGAGCTGCGTGCGGGTCCCACAGAAGGGTCAGGTCCTGCAGGCCTGGTGCCATTGTGCCTCTTGTGGACATTTGGCTGAAGAAGCTCGTGTTGGTGCTCTCCTCGGTCAGGGTATCACTGCTGTGACAGAGGGGGCAAGCTCGGGGTGCGTCGTGGCGGGGTTCAGTCCCCAGCCCATCAGGGAATGGCGTCTGGGCAGCGTGCGACTGAGATGTTCCTGTCCCCAAGTGCTGGCTCAGAGAGCAGTCTGCAGGAAAAGGACTTGGAGAGGCAGCTAAAATGAAGAGATGGAGAAATCAGGCCCCGTTGGGATCCCAGGTGCGGATGGATATACACAGAACAGCCCAAACCTCCAGGTCCAAGGGACGGGGACTTTGTCCCTATGCCCTATGCTTGGGGGCAGGGGGGTCCTGGGGACCCAGAGCGCTTCCTCGGGTCGCACCGTGCCGGTGGCTCTGCTGTTTGCAGAAGCAGCAGCTTGGGTGGGGGCAAGGTGGAGCTCGGGGCGGCGTGTTTGTAGCCGGGTATCCCTGCTGAGCCAAGCAGCAGCCTTTTGGGGTGGCAGTCCCCCACCCCACCCGCCCTGCATTGCTCTGAGTCACTGCGGCGGCGATCACTTATCAGCAGCAAAGCGCTCCTGGTCTCTGGAGTGAGCAAGACGGGCGTTATTTACTTTTCTATTTGTTGTTATAAGGAAGGAGATGGTTATTTAATGTTTAAATATTCACCAGGAACAGCAGGAAAGATGAGATAAGCCTGGGAAGCCTCTGTAGCAAGAATGGCCCTCCTCGAAATTAACCTTCTTAATTGGAGGAAGGTTTACATAGAAAGAAAGCACGCGCACCTGGAGCGGGGCTGGCCGTCGCGTGGGGCGTGCTTTTATTTTGGTATTCGCATAGCTCGGGTGGCTGCAGTCACACGGCAGGGGAGTGTGCATTAGCTCACATATTGTTATCGCGGGGGCTGGAAGGTCAGGAACAAAAGGCACTCTGTTCTGCGACCTGCGCTCCGCTCCGTTGGTGAACCTCGCGCCGAGCCTTTCCGGGACTTCGCTTCCCTCCTCCTGCCCAGCAGGAGCTGGATTCAACGTGGGCAAAGAGGCAATGTGTCCGCAGGTGAGTTTTGTGCACTAGCACGAAATAAGGAGGGAGCTGGGGGCCTGGAGGAGGCAGATCTCCGTCCTGGGGACCGCTCCAAGCCCTGGCATCGCCAGGAAGGGGCAGGCTGTGTCTGCGTAGCTGCAGTCCGCCCGGGGAGCTGGGCTGGGAAGGACGGCGGCTGCGGGCTTTCCGGGCATGGAGGATGTGCCAGATCGTGTAATTTTTGTGTTTGATTGTTTGTTTGTTTCCTGATGGGTGTTCTCTTGCCCAGCCTGAGAGCTGGCGTTGAGTGCAGGAGCCTCAAAAGCTTTTCAAGTGGCCCTGGACCTGCTTTACTCGGGTCAACCTGATTTTGGGGCTGTGCCAGGCCAAGTGGGTCATTGTCATTGCCCCAAGCTCAGTGAGGACCCTCTGGCTTCTCTGCAAAGTGGGTATTGCCCAAATAAGCAGGAAGAGGCTAATACTGGGGCTAAGTGGTTGGTGCCTTGCTGCTGGTGACGGTCCCCAGTGTGGGGTTATTTGGTGGGTGACAGGTTCCTGCTGGCCTGTGGCCAGTGCACGGGGCTGAGCTGACACGGGGCATTTCAGGGTGGGCTGCCAGCACAACTTGCCTCCTCTCTCCCCTTTACATCAGTGTAAAGCCAATTTAAACACATCGTGTGACTGGGCAGGTGCCTGTCCCCAGCACCACGAGCTGAGCTGGGCTCACTGTCACCGGCCGGGCCACCCCTGAGGGGCAGGACACAGCACCGAGCACCTGGGGGCTCTTTTTGGTGGTCTCCTTCCCTTGGCCCCAGGTCTGTGGCTCCGGACAGAGCAGTGTTCCCAGCTCGGGGGCCATGGCCACAGGATGGGAGCAGCACAGGGTGTCCTTGGAGGGTGCTGTGTGCTACCCATCCGTCTCCCCCCTGTCCCTCAGAGCTGATACGAATCACAAATACGCTCACTCTTGCTGGGAAAACAGAGTTGTTTTTCCTTTTCCTCTCCCCCCCGAGCATCCCAGTCGCCAGTGGCCAAGGCCAGCGGTGCTGCAGGGTGGTGAGGCTGCCGGCAGGGACTGGCTGCCACCCCACTCATGGTTTTGCTTGTATTTCGGGTGAAATTGTCCGTCACGGATCAGAGCAGCTAAATAAATGCTCCCTCGAGCCCGGGGTGTGCTGTGCTTTTTCCCAACAGCCGTGCTTAGAAGCACAGAAGCACCCCTGAGCGGGCGCCGCCGCTCCACTCCCCGCCTGCTAAAGCTCCTCACAGGGGCTGCCAGCCCCAGAGCCCTCCTGAGCCCCATCCTCCACAAAACACCAACAAAACACCCTGCAAAGCTGGCAGGCGCCCTGAAGTCGGCACAGAAGCAGGAAGCTTTGCATGCCCGGCCTTGCCGGCTAACATGTGGCTTCGGTGGTGGCCTCCGTGGTGTGGCAGAGCCCGTCCCTGTGGCCGGCTGCCGCCCGGCGCTAGGCTCTGGGGGCGGTGGCCGCATCTCATCACCTCAGGCCTCTCTCGAGCTGCCTTCCCCATGCCATCTTTGTGGGCTACCAGCCCGGGCACGTCAGTGGTGACGGGGCTTTATGGTCCCTTAACGTGTCCCTGCCCATCCCGTGCGGGTGACTCTTACAAAATGGCCGCAGACAGGGCCTGGGCCTCGTGTGGGCGTTAGGGCACAAACCGCAGTCAAGCCGTGGTTTCGGTTCAGGCTGGGGCGGGGTGTCCTGATTTTAAGGTCTGAGGTTGACCTGAAGCATCTCAGAGGGTGTTTTATTTGGTTAAAAATGAAAATAGGCCGGGGCTGGTGGTACTGGGCTGTTCTGAACGTGCAGTGGGGATGTACAGCCCCCCCATGGATGTGTTTGCCAAATGGGCATTGCCTCACCTGCTGTGTTGTGATTTTTTATCTGAAAAAAAGCTCTTACTTTCTGCCTGTAAACAGAAAAGCAAGCTTGGCTGGAGGAGAGAGATGTGGCAGTGGGAATTAAGGGGTCAGCATACAAATCAGCTGTTCACGAGGCCATAAAAAGAGCTTTGAGATCTGCGGCTGCACCTTTGCCCAGGGCATAGGGTTTTGGTTTTGCTTTGCTTCGCTTTATCAAGCGTTCTGTAATATCTTCCCCTAGTCCTGCTTGTTTGCCTATCTCCTTCTGGCATCTTTTCTTGAGGTTTAGTTATTTAATCTGTGATAAAATGTAAAGCAAAGTTCTCCACGCTCGTGCTCAGGAGGAGAACTTTGTTTAAAGTTTCACCTGTCTCATAACTCATTGACTGCATGGGTTTAACTTTAATGAGGCTCTTGCATTTGAAATTGAAAAAGCATTAAAGGAGAATAATCAAGGTCCAACGTGCTAATGTACTGCTATTACGTATCAGCCCTGTTGGAGGGAGGTGCAGAGCATTGTGAGTTCGGCAGAAATGGGGACATCTCTTCTGTCGCATATGGACACACACAGACTGGTAAATCTCCCCTCCTTAAAGATTTAATCTTTAAGCATAGAGTAGAGGTGGAGTTTTGTTTGATTTTTTTAAATCTGTAAGAAAAAAGAACATTACTTCTGTTTTCCAAAATATCCTTTGAAAACCCACTACTTACAGGGAAATGCAGGAGTGAGGTAGCAGTCTGTATTCTCCTAAAATTGCTTTAATAAGACAAAAACAAGCTTCAGGCTCATTTCTTTTGACCTTGTGAGTGGTGACGGTGCACAGCAGGGCTGTGGAACAGGCTCAGGTTGTGCCAGGGCCGCTCTGGTTGTTCCTCGAGGTGCTCCTGGACCGTGGCCCTCGCTTTGCCCCTGCCTGGCCGCATGTGATCGCAGCCGCAGCATCTTCTGTCCTGGTCTCTTCTGGTTTCTGTATGCACACCACGTGGGATGTGGCAGGGCAAAACACATTCTTCCCCTTTGCTAAATACAGGGAATGTTTGCAGATGGTGTTCCAGGTCGTCCTTTAAGGAACAAAATTGCTGCACGTCCGCGCTGTGGCTGGAGGAGGATGGGGTCTGCGCTGTTCTGGTGGCTACCTCTGGCTGCCCCCTCATCGGCCAGTCTGCACTGTTTTTTCCTGTCGATCAGATTTTTGAAGCAATTTGGTAGATAAATAATTTGATTGAAGGGCATTGGGATGTTCTGATGTGCTGAGCTGTTGGGCTCCCTGTTACGCTTTGTGCTGGGAGGCCAGCGACTGGAACCTCCAGAGGGTGGGTTTTTAATCAGCGTGTGGGTTGGGAGATTTGTTTTGTTTCCATGTTTTCTTGTTTGTTTGTTTTGCGATAGTTGTCTTTATTTTGTTCTTGAATACACTTGAATGTATGTCTGAATTTAAGCCTTTCCAGGAGGAAAGTTTTTGTTCTTTTGTTTGTTTATTTGTTTATTTAAAAAAACAAACAAACAAACAAACAAGAGTTTACTTTGGAGTCTGCAAGCAAAGTTATTTCCAATTTGGCTTTAAATCTGTTTCAAGCAGGCAAAAAGCAGCTTTTTGAAGCAGGCAGGTAAATGTTCAGATGCTGGTGGCTGCCCTCCTCCCTTGGGCCCTCTTGGCTGCCTTGGGTTCCCATCGCTCTGCGCACAGCAGAGCTGCACAAAGCATCAGTGTGAGCTGGGGATGGCTTTTGTCCCCCCAGACAGTGTCACAACACGGCATTGTCCCACATGCCAAAGCCTGACCTGCCCTAAACTTGGTGTACCCTGCAAATTGCTTTTGTTTTCACGTGGGAGGCAGGTGAAGCCACTGTTGGTGGCAGCGCTTGCTGCAGCAGCCTCTGCCGTCTGGTGGAGTTTGCTGGGCGTCTTCTGTGGGTGGCAACTTTGGACTCTGGTTCTGTAAAGCTTTCCATCATGTTTAACCTGGGGGTGGTGGCTGCGAGAGGCCGTCTGTCTGTCTGTGCTGAGCTGGCACAAACTGGTGCCACCCTCCTGGTTGTGGAGCGGGTGGCTCGAGCGCGAGCTTCCCTTCTCCCAGTTCATCTGCGTGGTGTGTGCCCAGCTGCTGGCCTTCCGTGGTGCAGGGCTCTGAGAAACGTCACAGAATCACAGAATATCCGAGTTGGAAGGGACCCACGAGGCTCATTGAGTCCCAGATCCCCAAAGGACCACCTGAAAGATGTCATTTGCTTGGATGTGTTTGCAAAAAGCCCTGGTTGCCTCCGTGTGCGCCTCTCTGGTGGAGGAAGAGGAGTTTGCTTGGGCATTAGTGCCTGCCTCCAACGTGCTGCTGCCGTGGACAGGGGACCAGCTGGAGCTCCGTGCCCCCACTGACAGATCCCAGAGGCACAACTGAGTTCATTTGTTCTGAAACCACCTGGGGAAATCCCAGAAGTGCTGGGCCACCAGCCCTCGCTGTTCTCACCAGGTTTTCCCTCGTGGCCTCACGGCTCCGCTCTGCGCACGCGGGTGCGGGAGGCTCAGCGCCGCCCGTGCTCGGGGAGGAGCAGCCTGCCCTCGTGCCAGGGCTGGGAAAACCCAGCTCTTTGTGCTCGTGGTGTGGGCTCCTGAAAACCAAGCGCCCGGAGCCTGCTGGCTCGCTGCAGGTAACGGAAACGTGGCACAAATACTCAAGGTGCAGTCCCAAAAAAGCACGTCCTGAAGATGCAGACTGGTGGCGCAAGCTGTGCGAACCAGAGGCTGTAGTAAAGGTTTACGAAGCAGCTGAGTTTTCTGTTGAGGGATGGGAGGTGCCTTCGTATTACCAGCGGGGTGGAAAAAGTGCTGTGGGGGCTGACTGGTGGTTTTGAGCGGTGGTTCCGTGTGGGGAACTCAAACCGATAACGTGTATTTGTAGCAGTGGGGTGGGTGAAAGGAGCGGTGATGGGAACTGCTGAGGGAGCAGCAGGTAATCCCTCTGGGACTCCATAAACCTAATACAAAATCTCTCTGAGTCCCAACTGCCAAGGCATGGGGTGGCTCGGCAGAGCTCCTGGGCATGGCGTATGCCTCATGCTGGAGAACTGCTGTCCCGTACGGGCTTGGTCCTCCTCTGCAACCCAACCGTGTGGCTCCAGCACCTTACAGGGCGGCTTTTTCCCCTCTTGTGTCTTGTAACAGGCAAATGAGGTGACCGACAGCGCGTACATGGGCTCAGAGAGCACCTACAGCGAGTGCGAAACCTTCACGGATGAGGACACCAGCACGCTGGTGCACCACGAGATGCATGACGAGGTGGAGACGGACAGCGCCATCGACTCCACCGTGCACTCGGAGTTCACCGACCCCATCGAGGAGCCGGAGCATGGGTCAGTGGCGGGGGGCCGTGGGGCAGGAGGGGGGACAGACAGGAGAGGACAGGGACCGGGGGAGATGCAGCCCGAGGATTTAATCGAGTGGGCTGAGCCTGCCTTGCCAAAACTGGTTGGCTTGTTCGTAGTGTTTGCCGCTTCACCGAGACCAAAATAGCTCTTCTGGAAGAATAATAATGAGGCTGCGCCGTGTGTAGGCTGGTTTGGAGCGTGGCCTGGCAATCTCTTTGAGCTAATCTTTGCTTGCCTTGGGAGAACTTCTGTACCCTCATTAGCATCTTCAACTTCTAAAATAAGTTCTCCGAACACCTGAAATACCTGCAGTTTTTAATCTATCGCTGCAGCCAGAAACGTAACGTGTAATTTTCAAGTCAGGAGGGGAACTCGCTGTACTCTTGTTTTTCCTAAACACGCGCGTGCCCTTTGATGTGCAGCCACCTCCTGTAACAACTAGTTTGAAACTTGTGCCCCGAGCACAGGGAGCTGCTTCCCCGTCTGAACCGCTGCTGGCGAAACTGCTCCCGGGCCCCTTTGCTTCCTCGATTTTGCAGGGAAAGTTGTTTTGGGGGTGAAACCAGGATGCTGGGAAGGCAGGAGGGGAGAGAATAGCTTTGTTATCAGCGGCCCAAAAGCATGGGTCTGTGCTGAATCTTCTGGAGCTGCTGTCACTTGAGGTCTGCTAACACCTGTGGGATTTTTTAGCCAAAAGCGTGGCATCTGGGCTCTGTGCCATGGCGAGCACTCACAGCTCCCTGTGCTTTTAGAAAGCGGGGGGCTCCCTGGGGCTTCCCTCCCGCCCCAAAAGCACATCTGGGGACACACGGGCAGGCGGTGCTGGGGCTGAAAGGGTGCTGGCTGGAGGAGATGCTGCGGATCAGAGGAGAGAGGGGATTAGCCGGCCACGCGCTCCTTGCCCGAGCAGCACTTATACCGGGGTGTAAGCGCTTTCTGAGCCCCCAGCCACCAGCAGCGTGTCCCTGGAGGGGCCATGGCAGCCTGCGTGCGCTCTCGTCCTCTTGGGAAACTGCCGTGCCTCGGATTCACCTGCCTGTAGGTACAAAACGCGTTGGTTAGGATTTTTTTTTTTAAATTAGGTTAAATTAGGCACACCTAACCTTGGGTGTCCTCTGGGTGCTCTGTCCAAGCAGGTGGTGTCTATTGCCAGGTGTCCTAGGTGTGAGCAGACTCCAGGTACCCAAAGGTTCAAGGCAAAAGCGTATTGGAATTTTTTGCACTTCTGCTTTAAATACTGGAAGGCTGGAGGCTGAAAACTTGGCAATCTGATCCCAGGTTGCTGAGGGCTGGATTCAGCGCCATCAGACCTGAGGTGCCTTCCAGGAGCAGTCAGTAAGTGCCATCCAGCCAGAGCAGGGCTGGATCAAAACTCCAGCCCTGCTTCCCAGTGGCTGTTCAAGCTCGACACACGTGAGAGGGTTTGAGTGGTTATTTAGGTTGTGTGTGGTAAAGATTGGCTGCGCTCTGGATCTTGCAACTTGGCGGATCCTGTAGGTGTGCACCAACTCCCCGTGCTAGTGCCTGGGGCAGCCCTGGCTGAGGGCTCCCAGGTGCCCGATCAGATCTGCTGCAAGGTGCTCGTCAAACCACAGCCCCTGCTTAGAGAGCTGGGCTTGGCTTCTGCTTGTGAGTTTAAAAAATATAATAAAAATAAAAAAATCCCCTCTACTTTCTATTCCTGGAGCGGTTTCTGATGCTTTCTGGGTGTGCTGGGTGCCACCACTCCCTGGTGGGGGACTGGGCTCCTGCCACCCCCCGCTGCAGGAGCTGGGCTGGGCTTGTCTGTGGTTAAAGGGAGACCTGCTGCTGTTTTGGCTGGAGGGGTGACATGTTTTTATTAGCAGGATAAGGGAAAATCCTTGAGATGTTGCAGACATTTGTCATAAATGGCTTATCAGTAATTGCTTTTTTTATTTTGATTTGGTGCAATGATCACAGTTCAGTGTCCATGTCTGTTTTCCCCCTCCAGGTGGATGAAGATGGGGGTCTAGCCTGAAATACCATTTTTTATAATCAAGTTTTTTTCCCCCTTTCATCGAATTTTAGGGAGGCGAGCGGTGCTAGTCCCCCCAGAGCACATCCCTGTGGGGCGCAGACACGCGGGCTGCTTTCAGGCTTGGTTCTCAGAAATCCCCTTCGCGTTTTTCCCCAAACTTCCCCTTAAAACCTCTGCGGTCCTGGGCAGGAAATTCCGGATTTCTGGTGCATACTGCCCTGGTGGGCTGAGTGTTTGTAGCACTGCCCACCTGCAAAGATACTGCCAGAAGCGACGTCTCCTGTGCCGAGCAGCGTCCCCTCTGAATCAAGGGACATCCCCGGGCCCATGCTGGGCGTGTTTTGGCTGGGAGCAGCACAGCCCTCTGGATCCGATGCTACAAACCCATTAAAAAAGCCCTACAAATAGCCACGAGTGCGTGCAGTGTCCTTCCTGCAGGGGTTGAGTGAAGGTCCCTTGCGGTGCCGGGCTCGGCAGCCGCCCCTAAACCACCGGGGTTTGTGTCACCGGGGCAGCAGCACCAAACCCCACAGTGGGCTCTCAGTAGGATTACACAGCACGGAGCAGGCGTGAGCCTGGTGTGCAGGGTGACCGTGTAACTCAGAGCATGTTCAGCTCAGGCTCAGGACACAGAAGTGGCAGAAATGGCTGGGTTATCGAAACGGGAGATGTGGGTTGGGAAGCAGATGTTTGGCGTGCGATCGGAAAGGCTGCCACAGTGGTCACCCCGTAACATCTTTGTCTGTCCCCACAGATCCCATCCGCACGACCTGCCCCTGGGCTCGGACCTCAGCCACTCCATCGTTACTGTCATTAGCGGAGAGGAGCACTTCGAGGATTATGGAGAAGGGAATGAAGCAGATTTGTTCTCGGACAGCTTGTGTAACGGGGAAAGCAGCTTTAACAGCTCCTCGTTCCTCTCTCCCAGGTAATGCTCAGCACAGCACTCGCAGTGCTTTACCCACTTTCCCTGGCTTAGTGTCCTCGCTCAGGCTCTGTGTGTGTGAGTTTGGGTGTGCTGCAAAAGGGGGTTCCTGGCAAAGCTTGGATACAGTGGGGTAACCAGCCCAGAAGTGGAAGAAGAGCTGCCTCCTTCAGCCTTTAATTTTCCTGAACAGTTCCCGTCCTCCCATCCAGAGGTGCTAATGTCCAGCAGCAGTTGGAAGAGCTCTCTGAGTTTTGGAGTCTGGGACAACACCACGTTCCCTCTCTGTTGGGGATGTGGCTCCTCGCACAGCATTCTGCTAGAGAAAACTGCCATGGAGTTTTATCCCTGATCCTGCTGGACAGCTTTATTTTATTTTTTCTTTTCCTTTTGGCTTTGATAGGATGCTCGGTTGGATTTGCACAAGCAGCTCCTCGCTCCTCTAGGCAGCCTGAGGGATTCATGGGGCAGGAAGGAGGCCAAAGTGTTTTCTTGCACTCCTCGTGTTAGGGTCTGAAACCAGGCATATGTGGGTTTTCCAGCCCATGCAGGGTGGACTGAGGATGATGATACAAACCGGTCAATCTGTATTTTTTAGGAAAAAAAGTGAAAGCTGGAATGGTCACGCACACCTGCAGCCCCTGTGATGACAGGTGACATGGGGACATGCTCCTCCACCAGGCAGCACAAGTCTGCGTGGGGCAGGAGTGCTCCCGCCCACACTGAAGACCAGAAGATGCTTTTTTTTTTTTTTCCTTTTGGGTGATGTGTGACTTTCCACAGCAGTACAAACCTGTTAAAACATTTTTTTTTTTAAATTTTATTTTCCCTGTTTACCTGCTTTCTACGAGATTCCCAAAGGCCTTTGTAGAGCCCGGGCAATTCTGCTTGCACAGGGCTGAAAGGGAAGAACTGCTGTCAAATCTACACACCAGCATTTTGCTGCAAGTCAGGGCTGACTTTTTTTTTTCTTTTTGCTGGTTCAGCAGCAGTTTTGAAGACGTTACCCGAACCTGCAGTAGAAGGTGTTGCTGTAAAGCATGGCTGACCCGTTAATTTGGGAAAACAGTGCTCTTGGTGAGCTGGGATACCCTGCCAGGGAAGCAACACGTCACTCATCCATGCTTGGCTGCTTATTGCACTGTGCAGGAGGAGGTGCTGGTCACAACTGTCCGTGCTGGTGCTGCAGCATAAGAAGTGCTCTTGGATAAAAACCAGCCTTGGTGTTGAGTTTCTCCTTGAGTGTAGGCCTCCAGCCCAGTCCAAAAGCCTCCTGGCAATGAAATACTCAACTAAAATAGCTTTGCACACCGCTAATTTTTTTTCTTTAACACCAGTCCTGAGCTCCCAGGTTACCTCCGCTCACAGTGCCCAGCCCTTGCTCTGTCAGGGCGCTCTCTTCCCTGTGCTGCCCTCTCTTCGGCTCCTGCCTCTGCAGCATCTCTCCTCTGCTGGAGAGGTTCAGGGGGTGGCCTTTCAGGTCTAGCCTTCACCTGGGATTATCATTGTGTGCACAAAGGTCCTTAGCTGATGTTTCTCTAAGCAGGTGCTGTTTTTTTCTGAACAAAGCCCTGCCTCCACAGTGCCTTTCCACACAGCGAAACCTTACAAAGCACCACAGGATGTCACTGGCCTAGATGAGCCTTTTGTTTTTTTGCTGAGGTTTGAATAGGAGGAACAGCATCTCTTGTAAGCGGTCACATCGCCACACACCACTTCCATGTTAGCAGAGCCTCTGAACAGGAATAACGGTGACAAATTTTCCTGCTACAGCTCCAGACCTTCACAAGAGGACTAATACAAGCACCGAGAGCCTTTGGGGAAGGCTGTGGGGTATTGCATTTTCCTGCTTAGTCCTGGTGTGCGTGATTCTGATCCCTGCTCTTGGGTTCCCACCTCTTTTTTGGTGCATTCAGCTGGTAGGAGCGAGGTCTGCCTGCCATGCTTGGCGAGAGAAGGATGGCGACTGAAAGTACAAGCTCCTTAAGTGCTGGACGAGCTCCTTAAGTGCTGGACGAGCTGCTGAAGGCAAATGTTACCCCACAAGGCAGAGGAAGGAGGCAGCAGGGCTGCGTGCGGTGCAGGGGGTGGCAGCTCGCCGCCAGCGGGAGGTGGGGACGCCCCGAGACGTGGTGGGGTTCAGCTCTCACCACCCGGCTGGCAAGGAACCAGCACAGCCAGGGGCCAGCTCTACCTTTACACAGCAAATTCCTTAAGATTCTCCTAATGCTTCTTGTCTGATGGCTTTCCCCACATCGATTAGTGCCTGGCAGAGCCGGGTTTGCACACCAGGTTTGCTCCCCGGGGTTCATCAGCGGCTCATTCTCAGGTGCTCCCTCTGGGTACCGCAGGGCTGCTGCCAGCTTCTGCCCCCTGCAGAGCCTGAGCAACTGAAGTGACTGCTGGTGGATAAAGACTTTCCTGAGACTGAACCTGCCCTAGAGCCTAGGGGGGTGTTTTTCAACGTTTTTGCAGGAATGGGAAGAGATGAGCAATGCAGCATGCGCTGTGGTCCACTTGCCTGATCTGAGGGGGCTCGGAAATACTGTACGGATGGCACAAACTCAGAGACCTGACCCCAGGGGGGCTGCTGACCCCCCCCCACACCCCCAGGAAAAGTCCCTGAGAGGCTATGCAAAGGTGCTGGCGGGAACACCCCTCCTGGGGGGAGCCTCAGCATCTCCCGGGTCAGGACTTGCCAGTGTGGGTCTGCACCATGGGGTTGACTAGTCCTTTCCAGATATCTTTTGGTTTTAAGCTTGCTTGTGTTTGCTCACACCTTTACCTGTCTTTCCTATTGAACTGCTTTGTTTTTTCACTATTAACCTTGCTTTGATTAAAGTCTGTGGCTTCCAGAAGCGTGTTTGCCCGCAGAAAGGATTTGTGGCATGCATTTGGCCCCAAAGCAAGACGAAACCGATTCGCAACCACCTTTCTATGAGCTTAGCTTCAAGGGGGAAGCTCTTTGAAGTGAAAATCTGACCCCAGTGTGCGTTACCCTCAGTGTGGGTCCGCAGCAGCACGACTGCTCTATTTTTAGGTGGTTCTGTTGGAGAGCGGTGACCGAGCGAAGGACTTGGCTCTTGGTCTTGGCACCGCGTGTGAGCCCAGTCTGCATTTCACGGGGCAAACCAGGATGATCGTAGGGCCTCTTGAGACAGGTTGCTTGGAAAATTGTGATGGGAAGTGGACTTTGTAGTCCTGTGGGTTGGCCTGGTGTTCCCAGGACCTAGCTAGAGCAGGCTGGCACAGGGTTTGGCACCTGGCCAGGCTCAGCTGCCAGGCTCCCTTTATTTTGGGAGGAGGACGGTGGTGGAGCTCCTGCTAACTCGTACTAACTCCAGATGCACAGAAATTGGGCCTCTGAAAGGGAAGCAGGGAAGGAACCCAACCTGCCCTCAGGCTTTAATTGCAAATCTTGTATCTCCTACCAAAACCCCTGCCCAGAGATTCCCCCCTCAGCTTGTGGAAGCCACAGCCGAAGCCGGATGATTCCCTTCTGTCCTGTTGAAATGACACTTGTGATTTCTCTAGCACCAATCCGCTCGCTGCGAAACTGCACAGCATTATCGCAGATGAAGCTTTTGAGTTTTACTGTAGCCAGTGCCACAAACAAATCAACCGCCTTGAGGATCTTTCCGCTCGCCTGAATGATCTTGAAATGAATAGGTAATTGGTCTCGTGCATGGCAGTGTCTGTGTTGGGAATGGTGCTGGGGAAGGGAAGACTCTCATTGTCTCTGCTGATGTGGGGCTGGATTCCCGTTGGCAGAAGGGGGTGAGTTTCACCGAGTGGGGGGGCCAAATCTGTGCTAACATCGTGGAGGGTGAGCAGGAGTCTGCTTTGATCTGAATGCCCTGGAAGCTAAAAGACAATGGGAATCTTCCCTTCCGCTCTGCTCAGCCTCTTTGCATGGCCTGTGCAGTGTCAGGTGGATGCGTTACCGCTGCTTACACGGGGATCTGGAGCCCTGGGCTGGCCGGGCACGGTATTTCTGTCACCAGGGGAAGGAGTGGGCAGCGTGGAGAAGCCCCTGAGGGCTGGAATCTGGAGGGGCAGCTGCTGTCCATCCTCCCAGGGCAGTGGGGACCCGAGCACAGCGCTGTGCTCACCGCTTGGGGCTCTCCTCTAGGCGCTCGCTTTGCGGCCCTACAAACTCATTTCACCCCCTGGTGTCACTCCTACCACCCCCAGCCCAGAAGGGGGAATAAATTAGGAATAATTTAGGGAGTTCCCTTAGGAGCTCCACAGGTTCTTGAGGGCACATTTGGGGGTCAGCCAGTCGGCCTTGCTGACCTGGCAGGTCGGGAGGGATGTCTGGTGTTGTTTGTTCTGGGGAAGGATCGCAGGACTGGTGATAATGATAATTCTGCTCATTCCCAGCGTGCTCCTTCAAGCCTGGTTTTTGGTCATGGTCTTGGTCTGTGTCCTCTACAGGGACAGTGTGACACGAGGGCCCTCCTGGGCTGCAGCCGTGGGAAGAGACCTGGAAAACAAACAGGAGCTTGGCCTTGAATTTTTAGTGCCAAAAGTACTTCTCTCCCCTGTTTTTCTCAGGCGAACAGTCGCTGTTAGAAATCCCCCAGGGGAAGGCTCTGAGGGTTTGTGATGTGGCTCAGGTGAAGCAGGAAAACACTGGACTTGCCCGGGTGCACCAGTGGCCCCACTCCATTTCAGGTTTTCGCCACCAAATTCACCTGCAGGGCTGAAATACCTGCTCTGAGCCTCCTGGTGTGGAGGCTTCCACACCCCATGGTGTCCCTATAGGAATTCTGTAGGTTTTGGTGTAGGTCTGTTTGCCCCACCTGGGCTCAGGGTTTCCCGTGCACAGGTTTGCTGTTGCTGGAAGCGTTGCCCTGCTTGCCAGCGTGAGCAGCTCAGGGGCACAACGAGACTGAAGCACAAGACAGCGTTCCTGGAGGGCTACAGACCACTGGGATCACTTTCTGGAGGTGCAACGGGGATTGCACAGCAGGTCGGGAGCTCCTCGGTCACCAGGAGAGAGCCAACAGGGAACTGAGCCTGTCCTGCGGGGCGAGCGGGTGAGAGGTGGCCCCGTGGAGCACTTGGGAGATGATGGGACCTGCTCCTGGCTCCCACGAGCAACGAGAAGCCCATGAGTGCCAGACCTTGGGTGAAGCAAGGTGCGAGGTGTGGGCTGAGCAGCCTCACACCGCACCCGGTGGGCTCTGGGGACTCATCCTGAGGACGGCCACGCTCCAGGAGTGCAGCCCAGCCGCCCTGTAACAGCCTCGCTCCTAAAGGCTTTGGGTACATATCAAGAGTTTGGGGTACATACACCAAGATTTCATCCCCTGGAAGAAGCAGGGAGCCAGGCCAGCGCTGGAAATCCCGGAGGCAGTCAGTATTTGCTGTGCTGCAGTACCCCAAATCCAACTGCAGCCTGGTCCCGGCGGCAGGGCACTGCTGCCCGAGCCTGCAGCACAGGAGCCCGGGGCCGAAACCTGCAGGGAGCTCGGGATGAGCCAGATTCCTGCGAGCACGTTGTGGTTGAGTGCCCTTGAAGGCAAGTTTGCATGTCTCATCCCCTCCCAAGAGACCCGCAGGTGCCGGCGCTGCTTTCCGACAAGCCGTTTGCAGAGACAAACCCCTATCCTCCCCGCGGCACCGGGGGCGGACGTGACTTTGTGCATTTGCTGGCAAACGCGGGGGCCTGGCCTCTCCCCGGCCCCGTGCGCGCTGTGTCCTTGAGGCCTGGCCAGCGGTGCTGCTCCTGCAGCCTGCGCCAGGAGGATGCACGTCTGACAACCCGCGGTCAGTCGTTGCTTCCCAGAAGCTGTAATTTTTTTTTTTAATTTTTTTTTTGAAAGAAAGAAAATCGCCCCTGCACTATTTTTAATTCCTCCTTCGAAGAACTCGTGTCACTGCTGCAGCTCGAGGCAGAAACGAACTCCCCGCTGATTTTTCCTTAAACTGAGCTAAGCACCGGGAAATGCAGCTGCTGCAGCCCCCCCCCATAGCCGGAGCTCTGCTCGCTGCCCCCATTCAGCAGTGATTTGGTGCCAGCGACGTGTCTGGTGGCATCTGTTGGAAAACGGCGTGTGGCAGGAGCCTCGGCTGGAAAAGGGTCATACGGGGCCATGGGCTTCCACTAAACCCCAACCTCTGTGCGGTGGTGGCAGCTGGCTGGGGTGTGCACAGCGAGTGCTGGTCTCTGCTGGGGGTTATCCAGGCGAGGAGAGCTTGTGCCCGTCCCCAGGGACTGGGAAAATGCCTGTGCCTGAAATCCAGACAGGGCCACGATCAGCAGCTCCCCGAGCTGCGAGTAGGCAGCAGTTCTGCGCTGATCCGACACCAAATATAGCTCGGCGAGAATAGTCCCTGAGCAGCACAAAACCGGCAGCGTGCAAAACGAGGGAAATGGCGATTTGGGGGCGAGAGGCGCAGCCCCTCGTGGCAGCCGGGTAGGGACCAGGAGGGCACCGAGAGGGCACCGGGGGTGCTCGGGCTCCGCGAGGGCGGCGGCGCTGGCCGAGACCCACCAAACTCCCTGCTATTCTTAGCACCTTCCCCGGGGCTCAGCTTTCAGGACGGGCATCGGGCAGCGAGAGGATGGTGTTGCTGGTGGTGGTGAGGGTCCCGCGGCGGGCTGGGCTCGGTTGGGTTCCTCGCCTGCCTCCTGGCGCGGGCGGTGGGGCCGTGCGTGCCGCTGCGAGGGCGAAGGATGTGCCCCGCAGTGTCTGCAGCTTCCTGTTTGCCTTGCCTCTCCGCTGTCAGCTTTCCTAACCCTTTCCTGTTTTTTGTTCGTTTTGCAGCCCAAATAAAAGACTCTCGAGCAAGAAAGTGGCAAGGTAAGCTCGTGCTCGTGCCGCTGCCTCGGTGGGAAGGGTGCCTGCGCTAGCTGCCAGGCCCGCAGAAGGAAGGCTGTCCCAATAACCTTGCCTTCTGCTTAGGGCAAGCCTCGGGGCTTGGTTTTGCTGGAGCAACTCTCCCTGCTCGGCCGGTCGGGGGCTTTGGGGCGTCATGGGGCAGGTAACCCCACTGCTGGGGTTTAATGTTGGGTTGTTCTCCCCTGCGGGACTGCCCAGGGCTTGCTTGTGTGCTGCCAGCTGCCTTCCCTGGTGGGTATTTGGGTATTCTTACCCTGCCTGTGCAGGAAGAGCTGCAGCGTGCTGTGAGTCTTAGGGCAGAGGCTCCATCCCATCCCAATGATCCCTGGTGTCCCTCTCTCCTCCTGGCCTCACCAGTCCCACCTGTACCCGTGTCGTCCTACTCACAGCCAGATGCTGGGGCTCACCTCCCCTGCCCGGTCTCCTGCAGTCCCTGGCTTTGCTCTTCGCTCCTTTCCAGGCAGGGCAGAGGCACTGCAGAAGACCAGGCGGCTCCTTTGGATGGAGCAGGAGGCACCGTGCTCCCTCTGGAAGCACAAATGTGGGCAGCCCCATGCCCCAGTGCTTGGGGTGCACCCAACCGAGGGGCTCAGGAGCTTCCCTGAACCCCTTTGTCCCACGTTCCCCTTCCCAATTTTTCCTGTGGTCAGCAGTCTCTCCTCCCGGAAAGGAAGCGCGTCTTTGATACTAAATTTCCTCCTTCCACTCATCTCACTTTCGAGATCTTTGTGAAAAACAGGGGCAGGAAAGAAGGCTGAAGGGAGCAGCCTGTCCCCGGGTTTCCTGTTTCAGGACTAGCTTTTGGCCCCTGGCTGGCAGAAATCATTTGGGGAGGGTTTGAGTTAAACTCCTGGGAACGGGGGTGCCCCATCCGCCCCGGCCGAGGCTTCGTGGGTCAAGCTGCAGGGTGGGGGCCAGGCTGGGTTCCCCGGGACCCGTGGCCACGGGCAAGCAGTCAGGGTTAGGTTGTAGTAGCGACAGAAAAGAGCCAGGTCCTGAAGATCAGCCCAAAGGGTGCTTTTGGAGGCAGATACTGTAATTAAAACATAACATTTGCTCCTTGTAAATTGATTTCATTTTGGTGAGGGCTCTTTCCCTGACTTTTGTTATCCGGGTTCTGCGTGTGCCAAGAAATCTCAGCTGCTTAGGCCCTGTTGCGCTTGGCATGATTCAAATGACAAATGTGCCCGAGACTTCAGAATCTAAATATACACCAGGGTGAGGAGGCAAAATAAGCCTGGTACTCAGCTGCGGGCTCTTCTGTAAATGCCAGTTATGCTTCATGAATATTTGCATGAGCATATTGTGTAGCGGGGTGAATTTCAGAGCCCAGCTGACAAACTCATTGGATAATTTAGGTTCAGAGAGGGCTCTGTGCTTCTCTCACTCGCCTCCTGCTCAAAGCAGTGCTGGCTTCGAAGTAGCTCGGCTTGCTCATCGTGGGGCAGCGGGAGAGCAGAGCACCTGTGAGACAGGGAAACAGGGAAAGGCCCCTCTCCCTTTTTGGGGACACTGTCGGGGTCCCAGCCCCTATCTCCATCACCCAGCCTGAGGGAGCCTGAGCCCGTTACTGGCAGTCCTTGGGCATCCACAAGAAGCATCCATTCCCCAGCAGGGAACCAGTTCAGGCGTTTGCGAGCACAGACTGCGGTGTAAGGCCCGTTGGTGCCAGTGTAGGAAGCTCTAGGAACGGGATTTTGCTGGGAACATGATGGTTTTCTCCAGGCAGCCTGGTCAGGGCTCCCAGAGCTGGAAGTATAACGACCCCTCGCTGTGGCCATAGCTGCTGCTGGTGCCCTGGAGCTAATCAGCAGCGATAGCACGGCAATTAAAGGCAGGTCAGCCCCTCCACGCGGCATCCTGGGCAGTGTCCTTTGGGTTGGCACGGAGCCACGGACACCGGTGTCGCAAGGCCTTGCTAATGATTAGCTTGCTCCTGGCTGCAGCAGCGGTGGGCTGGGTGGGTTTTTTCTCCATTTCCCTCCCCTTCCACCCGCTGCCCCCACTTCTCCACCCTACCAGCGGCAAGAACCGAGCGCCCCTTCCTTCGCTGGGGAGCGCACGGCCTCCGAATGTTCGGAAAGAAAGAAATTGGGCAGGGGGAGCTCTTATCTCCCGTTCCAAAGAGCGAGAGCGAGTGATCGCGGAGTGAAGTCCCAGCAGCATGTGTCCACGTCTGCACGCCGCTCGCAGGGCGCGTTCCTTCGGCCGGTAAGCACCGAGGTGCTTGGGCTGCTTCGCCCCTTCAGCTTGCCGTGGTGCCAAGGGACACTGCTCTGCGAGGTGGCAGCCTGAGGAGGAGAGATTGGGGAGCCGGACCCTGCGGTGTAGCGGTGGTTGTTCGCCTAGGAATTGCCATGTTCGCCCTAATGTTCGTGTTCCTGGGGGTCGGGGTGGCTTTTCTCTGCTACAGGCAGCTGCATCAGACCAGCGCGCTGGCCTGTGGGGGCGATGGAGGAGTCGTACCGGGACACGCTGGAGTGCACGGAGGAGGACATCACGGACAAGGTAGGAGCAGGGGCGTCCGTGCCATCCCGCTGGGCTGGGGAAAAGCTCCTCTGGGTGTGTGGAAGGCTGGTGGGACGTGGGAAGCCCTCTGAATCGAGAGGGTTTAAACCGAGAGGTCTCTGAGTCAAGCTGCAGAGCCCCTGTGCTGAGCGAGGAGCTCCAGCCGCTGCCTGCTCCCCGGGGACGGCGTGCTGCCTGCCCGCAGGTGGCGGTGGCACCTCCTGGTGCTGCCGTGCCCGCCGAGGGCTGGCTGTTTGCAGAGGGTTTTCACTCCTGCTTCATGTTTTGGGATGAGATGTCGTCCACATCTGCTTCTCCAGGATGAGCAAAGTCCCCCAGTGGGAAACGAGGGCGTCCTTCCCTCAGCCTCGTCCTGCCTGCGAGGACACAAAGCCGACCTTGTGTCGGGCTGGTGGGGTCAGTCCAGGGTGTTGTGAGCGGGGGACTGCGGGGCAGGAGGACAAGAAAGCTTTTGTTTGAACACCAGGAGCTAAAAATAGGTAGAGGAAGGATGGAAAGTTAGAGATGAGTGAGCTGGGGCTTGTGTAAATGTTTGCTGCAGTAATGAAACTCTTTCAAAATAGCTCCTTAATTCTGCAGCCGTGAATAGAGACCTGCGTGGAGCAGCGTGTGAAAGACAAACCTGTGTGTTTGGCTGCGCTCTGGTATAATTATAATGCATAAAAGGCCTTTAAAAAACAAATTAACATTTTTCCAAGTCTGAAAGTTGAATACAACGCTGCAGACCTCACGTTCCTGAACAGTCTCCAGCCGTCTGGCTAGGAAAGCTGCCCCCGTGCTCCTAGTAAAGTCCTTGTCTCTGCGTGCTGCTGTTTTGTGATACACTCAGGTCTCCTTGGCCCTTCTCCCCCCACTGATGGGATTCCTACAGCTCAGATTTCGTAGACCTGCTCCCAGTTCCTTTGTGGTTTGGGACTCTGTGTGGGGGTGCAAGTGGGACTTGGGGACCACGAGTAAGTGGAAACACAGAGAGGGCTGAAATGTGCCAGGTACCGGGAGAAAACACTCATCTGTGCCCCCTTCCAGCAGGCAGTGTTGTTTCCCCGTGGCCTCATTTACGCTTAGCTGTCCTTTCCTAAGCAGCGGGTGGTTGTTCCCAGCCTCAGGGCTGCGCTCCAGCTCAGCGGTGATGCTGCAGAGCTCCCGCTGGGTCTTTCCCTCTGGACATTCAGGATCTTGTTGTGAAGAAAGGAAACAGTGAAACGTTGGGCCCCGTACTTCTACTCGGGAGACACTCAGAAACCAGAGGGTAAAAGGATGTTTTGAACAAAGGCACGGCTTTTTCCAGTGGCAGCCGTCCCCGTTCAGGTAGCTCAGCCAGGTCCGAGCTCCAGCGAGGGTCGCTTTGTGGGGTGGAGAGCGGGGTGAGGGCTGACCCTTGCCTCTCCCATGTCCCCAGGTTGTCTTTCTGGAGAAGCGGGTGACGGAGCTGGAAAAGGACACGGCTGCCAACGGCGAGCAGCACAGCCGCCTCAAGCAGGAGAACCTGCAGCTCGTGCACAGGTAAGGAGCCCGGTTCGTGCTGCCTCTTGCTCAGCAGGAGGGGCTCTCATGCGGGATGGCACGGTCCCACACGCACTTTTTGGGGCCGCTGGCACATTCCCAGGAGCTCAATTAATTGCTGGCAGCTCAGCAGGTACAAACGGCCCACCTCTGGCCACGGTGCCAGCTTGCACTCGCTCCTTCGGAGTATTCTGCTTGGGTGCATGTAAACACAGAGCTTTGTAGGTCTGTTTCCACATGTCCACCCTTAACGCTGCCTGCAGAGCCCCAGAGGTTGGCTGAGGGAGGCTCGTGGCTCCCAGCCAGCCTCAGCCCTGCTGCTTTGGGATCCTGGCTGCAGCACAGCCCCTTCGGATCCCGTTTTAAGTAATCGCTGTCCTTACGGGTCTGGCAGGCTTCTCTCTTCCAGCAGTGTATTTACACTCCCAGATAAACCCAGCAGGAGTTATCTATAGGGCTGTAAGGCTGTTAAGTAATGATTGTGTCATGGAACCGAGCGTTCAAACAAAGGTTTCTCTAAGCCGTGATAAACTTTGCGGCGAGGGGAACGCTTTCACTTCAGCGGCTTGGCCCAGAAGTGTCAGTCGGCTTTGAATCACGTAAAGCCCTCTGTGTACTCCTTGCTGCTTCAAGAACGGCTTCATCTGGCAAAAGCCTGCCTGTGCAAAGCGATTACATAAAGCAGAGCAAAGCAGCCTCCCAGCAAGCCGGGGTGAGGAGCTCCACGGTGGCTGGGACTGCCTCTGTCCGCTCCTCTGCCCGCACGAGCAAGCACAGCTGCTGCCCCAAAGCGTGCCACGATCGTGGGACTGCGTGGAAATCCCCGTTGTGCTGGCACACAGAGGTTTGACCTGCAGAGCCTGTATTTTTAGGGCTGGGGACATGAGAGTGTGAAAAGGAAGAGGATTAAGGGACGAGGTGCCCATTCAGTAGCTTGTTCCCAGTGGTGCCGTGCCTGAGACCTGCAGGGTGTGTTACAAAATGATCGCTGTGCTTTCACCCTCGTCCCCCTCTTGCTGCCTCCCCACTTATAAAAAGGTTTTGATGCAGCCTGGAGAGGTAGAAAAAGAGATGGAGACATCTACCAGCATGTGCCACCCGGTTTATTTTACTTTAATACCATGTTTAATACCTCTCCCTCCTCTCCGCAGAGCCAACGCTCTTGAGGAACAGCTGAAGGAGCAGGAGCTGAGAGCTGACCAGACACTCCTGGAGGAGATCAAGAAGCAGAGGGAGATGCTGAGCAAAATGGAGAGGGAGAAGAGCATTGAGATCGAGAACCTGCAGGCCAGGTGGGGCTGGGGCAGGGCTGGGTGGCGGCAGGTCTCCCAGACCTGCACGGCCACTGGTGTCTGTGGGGAGACAGAGGGTGGCAGAGGGTGACCTGAACTTGGCTAAAGGTGTGGCTAAAGTCAATATAAACCCTGAGGTTTGGCTGCTTCTCCTTCCTTACCTTTGTCCCAAAGTCAGGCCCCTCCATGAACCTGGTCTCAGGCTTATTTGGGTTTCCCTGATGCAGTTTAGTCTAGCTCGTGTTCTCCCTCCTTGGGCCTGCCCCGCAGTGCACGAACGCAGATGTTGTTTGTTAGCACTTCTTCACATGAAAGACCCGAGGAACTCCGTTTGATGCTCAGACCTGAGACGTTGGAAACAAGCAAATGTCTGATCCTGCTCCCAGAAGCTGCAGGGGTTACGGACCTGGGCAGGCGCAGGTCGAGGGGGAAGGCAGAGCTCTCCCCGGTGAGAAAGGAGCAGGTAGTGCGGCACGAGTGGGTCGTGGCTGCAGGCTGCTTGGAGGAACAGGAGGGTAATGGGGCAGAGCGAGACCCCATCGTGAGAAGGAAGGGTTGTGACACAGGTGGTGTCCTGGACCCCTAGGGTTCGTACAGCCTCGTGGCTTCCTAAGGAAAGAGTAGCATGGGAGACAGTTCCATGTATTTGGCAGTTTTTTTTCTGATGGGGCATTTTTTTATGGTTTTCCAGAACAATTATTGCTATTGCTCAGCCCTTGTGGTAAATGAAAAATTACTCAATTTCACTTTATTTTTTTTAATTGTGTCTGTGGGAGGACAGTTACCACGACACATGGATGGGATGTTACTTTACTGGGAGAATGCAAAGCTGAAGCCCTGTCTGAGCCCCTGCTCTGACTGCCCAGGCAATATTTGCTTTCTGGTGCCCAGTGCTGAGGTTTGCCCATGGACACCAATGAAGCCTTTGGGCTAAAGAATTATATTCAACCTAGGAGAGCATGGCACTGGACAAAAGACTTGCCTGAAGTTGTGTGGATTCCCCCATTTTTCCCTGGGAATGGCACTAGTGGAGATCTCCAGGTTTGCACTGAAGAGATAAATCACTGCTGGCTTGCCTCCAGCAGGTCCTGGTTTGATATTCCTGATAATGTTGCAACCAAGCCTCCTGCACTTGGGCTGTCGGGGTGAATTTCTGACACATCTCCCCGTTGTTGCAGGCTGCAGCTACTGGATGATGAGAACAGCGAGCTGAGGTCCTGTGTCCCGTGTTTAAAAGCCAACATCGAGAGGCTTGAGGAGGTGAGGACGCGTGTGTGTGTGTGTGTAAGGAGGGTCTCTGTGCCCTCTGTGCTGGAGCTGCCATCAGAATGTGGCAGCATCGCTCTGTGCTGGCCTTTTTGGCTAAAAACCTGGGATTAAAACCCTGCAGAGCCTCTCCTTGTGACAGCAGCAGAGCCTCAGCCCTGGCGGGGCTGCTTCGGAGGGGACTCGTGCCCTCTGCTGGAGGCTCGTCCCCAGCCCTGCAGCGGGGCCGGGGCAGTCCAAGGGGGAAGAGGAGCTGGCATGGGTTATCTGCTTCCTGCCAGGCAGATACGCCGTCAGCAGGAGCTGTGTGCTGAGTCTTCAAAGCGCTGCCTTATCTCCCAGACCCTCGCCCCTGCTCAGGCTCAAGGCCGTGCATCTGCAGCCGGGGCGGAGGCTGCCCGAGGGGCTGCAGCCTCTCCAGGGCTGTCCGGGAGCCTTGTTTTGGGAGGGAGCATGGGTTAGGGGTCCCACATCAGGCCCAAAGGTCACGTCGTGTTTCTGCTCAAGTCTGTGGCACATTTAAGATTAAAACTGAAGTGAAATCAAAGCTCTCTGCCCGGCTGAAGGCCTCCAGGATTTCATCCTTTTGCAGTCCGTGAGCCTGCAGGGCATCGCTGCGGCTCAGCCTCCGCCCGACGTGGCCAAGGCGAAGCTGCCTTCGTCTGCCACGGCCGTGTAAACACGGTGCACTGAGGCCGGGGATGGGAGAACCGCCGTGGGTCTGGGGATGAATTTCTTGCCTAGGTGTGTCCAGCCATGCGAGGGTTGTTTTGATCCTTAATCCCTCTGCAGAGCAGCGCGGCTTTTCTCCGCAGTTAAATGTGATTAAGCAGCGGTGAGAGGAGCAGTCGCTGCCCCTCCCTGCCGAGGAGAGAAGCCCTGCTGACGGACTGCTGTCTTGTTTGGTGCCAGAAATCCGGATTTTGTTGTCAGTGCTGCATTCCTGCTTGCGCGGTGCCTTCGGTGCTGTGCCGCGCGGCGCTGGGGCACCCCAGCCAAAACCTCCCTCACGGGGACAGCCAGGCTGGAAGCCTGGGGTGAATTGGTCACAGGAAGAGAGGAGCTGCTGTATGGGGAGGCGTCCTGCGCAGGGCTGTTGTCACCAGCAGGTGACAAGCTTCCCACACCACCTCCAGCCCCAGCCAAGGGCTGCACATTGGTTTTACTGCCTGGTGGAACTGGTCTCACGTTCATGTGCATGGGTCAGTCCCCAGTTAAGTTCTTTGCTGTCTGAAAAATGGAATGAAGTTCCCCACAGTGGTGCATAAGATCCTGGATTTCTGGCTGTTCTGCAGTTCAGACCTAAGGAGCCCAGGGGTCTCTCGTTGCCCTGTAGCCCCCGTTGAGCCGTGTCCCACCCCTGGCACGGCGCTGCCCCAGCACAGGGACCTCACTGTGCGGTGATCCTAGGAGCACTGCTTTAATCCATGGCTCTTCTTGAAGCACTCGTGCTCTGCAGCCCTCAGACAGCAAACGAGCTGGCAGCAGGCAAGGGGAGCATCCCCACGGGGCTGGGTGCGCCGGGCCCTGGGGTGAGCGGGACGAGCCCTGGCAGCCAGGCTCTGCCTCACGGCCTCGCGTGTCGCTGCAGGAGAAGCAGAAGCTGCTGGATGAGATCGAAGACCTCACCGTGCAGCTCACGGAGGAGCAGGAGAACAAGAGGAAGATGGGGGACAAGCTGAGCCAGGAGAGACACCAGTTTCAGAAGGAGAAGGAGTCGACCCAGGAGGTGAGTAGAGTTTCGTTGCCTGCTGCAGCCCTTCCCGTTAGTCCCCCCTGAGACAGGGGGTGTTACAGGGGGGCTGGCTTCAGCAGCCTCTCCAGAACCAGCTGTAACTATTTGTAAAGCGTTGGAGAAAGGTAGTGCAGCAGCTTAACTGTGTAACATTTGTCACTTTTGCCTCCGTGAAAATTCAACTGAGCATGTTTGCCTGCATCCACAAACCCGTTTGGGCTGTGCCAGGCTGACCAGTTGGCCTCCTGCACCCAGGGAGCTGTGGCAGCAGCACGTGGAACCAGCAAAGGGGAAGAGAGGGGTGCAGGGCTGCCTGGGGGAGAGCTCCCAGCTCGTCTGTGCTTGGGGGCAGAGATAGAGCCCTCCCTCACCTCCTTCCAGGTATCTGCTTGGCAGTTCCAGCTGGAGGCTCCAACAGTGCTTGCTGTTCTGGTAGGGAAGGAGCTTTGGGGCTCAGAGTGGAAATTGGGGAAATTTTGGTGTTGCCGAGAGCGCTCGGATGAGGTGGGGATTCACGGCACTGCCCGTGGCAGCAGGGGGCAGCTGTTGGAGCAGCTCTGTCTCCTGCTGCAGAGCCCAAAGGGGAAGCTGAGTGCCCCCAGACAGTCTGATAGCCCTGCTGCAGCACTCAGGGGGTCCGCAGAGGATGCAGCACTCAGCTGTCCCCTTCCTTTGCACCGCAGCTCATTGAGGACCTCAGGAAGCAGCTGGAGCACTTGCAGCTCTTCAAGCTGGAAGCTGAGCAGCGGCGAGGCAGGAGCAGCAGCATGGGGCTCCAGGAGTACAACAGCAGGACGCGGGAGACGGAGCTGGAGCAAGAGATCAAGCAGCTCAAGCAGGTGCGGGCAGCTGGGCAGGGAGGGAAGCGCCTCGGCTGCGTGGTGTGCACGAGGGGATGACAGTTCCTCCACAGAGCGAGGGGTGCCCGGCTCCTCGCTTGCTGGATGCTCCCCTCTGAGGAGCTGGCTGTGGATCCAGCATCCTGCTGCTTCTTGCCCCGCTCTGGGACAGGAGAGGTGGGATCCTTCCTCTGAAGGACACTCTGTGTAGGCAAGAACCCCTCTACGCTGCGTCCCCTGGGTCTGCTCAGGACATTTCATGTTTCCAAAGGTTCTCCAGGCTCTCCTGAGCCAGAGCCAGGAGACCGTGTGCTGCTCCTGGTGTTCTGGGAGCTGCTGGCTTCGAGGACAGCCCCTGCCTTCCCCAGATGTGTGGTGGGGGGTGAACGGGTCTGCTTTGGGGCACCACACGGCATCTGATAGCTGTTCTGCTATATCAGATACCTGATCCGATGTCTGTTGCGAACAGGATAACAGGAACCTGAAGGAGCAGAACGATGAGCTGAACGGGCAGATCATTAACTTGAGCATCCAGGGAGCCAAGAACCTCTTCTCAGCCTCCTTCTCTGAATCCCTGGCAGCCGAGATCAGCTCGGTCTCCAGAGACGAGGTGGGTGCCGCCAGGAGCTGCGTTGCTCAAACTGCATCTTCCCAGGGTGCCTGGGGCTTCTCCTCCCCTCTCAGCCTGGCAGGAGCCGATGTGGCGGTGCCTGTGGTTCTGCTCACTCCCCAAATTCACCTGAAAGCTGTCAGGAGCAAAAAAATACCCATGCAACAATTTAAAGAGCGTTTGGGACTTGCCCTGCCTGCCAGCCCTCGTTCCTGGGAGCCGGGGAAGCTGCTCCCTTCCAATCTATCTTTGCCTTCCTCTCCTGGGACTCAGCAGCAGGCACGGGGTGTGCCTGGCTGTCTGTAGGTGTCCCAAAAGCCCAGGCAGCTGGGACATCTACCCTGGAGAGCCTGGATCTTCACTTCTCCTGTGGCACATGCTGTCCCTGCTGCAGTGGCTGCACCCAGATACCGGTGGGAGAGCCCACACAAGTGCCAGAATTTAATCTTTTGAACCCTGAGCCCTGGGGGCAGCCCCAGAGAAACGAGCACGTCTGCCAGGGGCCTCTGTTTTTTTGGCCAAGCCCCACGTGCAGGGTTTGGGGAGCATCTGTCAGGGAGAATCCTTGGAGGGGGGGGTGGAAAAGAAGGGGGAAACTTCTGCCTGATGTCTGCTCCAGGGCAAGGAACCCTGCTGCTGTCCCAGGGCGGCGGTGACCACTTCTCCCTTTCTCTCTCCCCCTCGCAGCTCATGGAAGCGATTCAAAAGCAAGAGGAGATCAACTTCCGCCTGCAGGACTACATCGACAGGATCATCGTGGCCATCATGGAGACAAACCCCTCCATCCTGGAAGTGAAGTAAGGGCGGCCGAGAGCCGCGGGCTGTGCACTCTTCGATGGGTGTGGATTTGGTGCTCTGAGAGGAGAAAGAGGGACTTGAAACGTCTTTGCTCTGGATGAAGGCACAAGGAAGCATCGCGTCGGGTCGGGGGGTGAGCCAGCCAGCGGACCGGGGAAACAGAAACCCAGCAGCAAGGCTTTGTGGTCTGACTCCGTTATTTTGAAACCCTCACGGCTTCGAGGGGTGAAAGGGAACCTGGAGAAGAAGTACAGGCAACGGACAGCCGCGAGGAGGACCTGTCCCAGCCCCGCTACCAGCAGAGCTGGCCGGCGGCTGCGCCTGGTGGGAACTGTCCCGAGGGCGGTGGCAGACCCTCTGACACACGGGGCCGACACCAGGGTGTGAGGAGGGGGCTCCTCCAAACTTGCAGGGTCACGGGATGGAGAAGGAAGCGCTGGAGCTGACGTTTTCCCTTGCTGCCCTGTCCAGCCCAAGTATCTGCTTTGCCAAAGTGTCCGTGACACACTCACTCACTGGGGCAGATCTGGGAAAGAGGGAAACTTGTCCTGGACTTGTAGATTTATTTTTTTTTTTAAATTAACTTAATGCAAATGTCCTCATCCAGCTGGCGCAGTTAATCCTTGCCCTGCTGCTTTCGCTTGGGAACGGGTCGCGTGCAGAGAGCTGGCTGCTCGCTCGCTCGCCGGTGGCAGAAAGAGGCAGGGGAGCGGCCGTCCTCGGCGCAGGGCGTGAGTGCAGCTCGTCACCTGCCTCCTTATTTATTTTTGCTGTCTGTGGCTCTCTTCCCTCTGCTCTCACAGCCCCGGCGTGCGGCCCGGCAGAGCGACCACCGTCCTCCACGTGCCCGCGTGTCCGCTGAGCTGGGGAAGAGCCATCCCCTCCGCCCCAGCTGCGGGCACGGCGGTGCTGCCTGTCCCACCTCCTGGCACCAGGGAAAGGCTGCGACCACCACACGAGGGCTGAGCTCTCCCCGTGGCCTCCCAGGAGCCCCAGCCCGGAGCAGGGCTCTGCCAGTGATGGTCCTGGAGGGAGAGCCCGCTCCAGCCACTGCTCCTCGCCCTGGGACGAGGCGGCCGCTCCGATTTCTCAGCCCAGCCCGCTGGGTAGAGGGGGTCTCTGGCCAGAGAATAAATCAGCAGCTCCCTGGGAAACAAAAGCCATGTTTACACCGGGCAGCTCTCGGTGCGCTGGCGCAGGCGGCCGTGGCATGGCCGTGGGGAGCAGCCGCTCACCCCGACCTGCTCCTCGTCGCTCCCGGGAGGAGGCAGGCCAGCGGGCCACCGAGGATCCGCCTTCTGTTGGCACATCGGGCCCGCAGCAGTGCTCATTTCTCCTGCTTGTCAGGGTTTAGAAACGCCAGAGCGGTCCGAAAACAGAAGCCACAGCGATCTCTTGGCCGCTGGTTTGGGGAGAGGGGTCTTCTCCTCCCCAAAATGCTTCCAAGCGTGGCAGCGCCGAGCACGCACCGCGGCTCCTCCTGCGCTGGCGTGGTCTTAGAGCAGCCGGCGGTGGGCTTCTCCCCCGGGGCACGACGAGCCAGGAGCGGTGGCAGATGCCGCAGCCTTAGCCCGGGCCGGGTCCCCGGAGGCTTTTCTGCTCCCCAGAGCCACGTCCCCCCTGCCACCGGCCCGGCACCGAGCCCTCCTGCGCCTCTTCACCGAGGACACGGCGCCGTGCCCGGCCCGCGGGAGGAAGCCACGTAATGTACATTTCCAGAGAAGCTTTGGGTGTAAATCAGTGTATACTTGGAGAGGGAAATTTTTCTATCTTGTAGAGTAGGTATTTTTATAGAATGAAGGTTGATCATTTTTTTAATACTTTAAAGAAGAGAGAAATGTATCTGTGTATACACAAAAGCATTATATATATATATATGTATAAATATATAAATATCGGAGATCTGCCTTTCTCGACTTGGGATCACGGATCCCCAGTTAATACAATCGTCTTTTTTCCTGTCGCTCACAAAGAGGTACTGTAACTGTAAATAAGCACCGGGAAAAAGTTTTAAGCAAACAAAGCACTGACTTGCACATTCACCATGCTTTAAAGTCCCTATGAAAAAAAGAAAAAAAAAAAAAAAACACACAAAAAAAACCCTGTACTTCCCCAAAATGTTCCTCTTTCCCCGCCGGTATGTGAAGGAAGTCCCAAAAGAGGCGAAAACAGTATTGTCTTAAATGATGTATCGATTCTTGTCTGATTAAAAGCTGTTACCATTCCTGCCCCCTGCCCTTTTTTCCAGCAGCTCTGGGAGGTTTCCCTGCACCTTGGGGGGAGGCTGTGGGAGGCAGAAAAGGGGCCGGGGAGGGGGAGGCTGGGCCCAAAGAGGCTGCCCCAAAGGGCTCCAATGTGCAAATCCCCTCTGAGCAACTCCAGGTGTTGGAAACGGCCCCGCAGTGCTGCAAACTCACCCAAGCAGCCCCGGAGCACTCGAAGCTGCTGCAAAGAGCTCCGAGTGCCTCTGGATGCTGCGAAACGCCTCCGAGCAGCCCCAGCACAGCACCCAGCTCCCTGCAAACCACTCCGTCCTGCTCCAAACTGCTCCCAGCAGCAAGAAAAGGGCTCGGAGCATCCCTCAAACACCTCTGGAGAGCCACAGAGCGACCTACAACCCTGCAAACAGCTCAGATGGATGCTAGGATTTCTCTAAGCACCTCTAGAAAGCCCTTTAAAATTGCCTCCAAAATTAACTTGAGCTCGGCCAGCTTGAGGCTGCTCTAGAAATTTGGTGAGTAAACAGCTCTGCACGGCATGCAGTCACTTCAAGAAGCCCTAAAATACCTGTGAACAGCCCAAAACGCTGCAAGGGCAGAGCTCGGGGCAGTGCTGAAGCACTTGAATTGCTCCAAGAGCCTCCTCCAAGCAGCCCCGTAAGGCACCGAGGAGCTAAAGCTGCTCGGAGCGGCTCGAAGTAGCTCTTGAGCTCCTCAAACTTTTACAACTCCTTGAAATAGCTCAAAATGCATTCAAAAAAAAAAAAAAGACAAAAAAAAAACTTTAGCAGCTCTGTAGCACTCCAAGCCTCCTGTGAATGGCTCTGAGGTGTCTCAAGTGCTCTGAAGCCCTCTGTGAGGCCCCTAAATTGCCTCCAAACCCTCCTAAGATCCCTCTCAACAGCATTAAAACCTCTCAGTGATGGCCATAAGCTTCTCTGAGTGGTTCGAAACCTCCCCCAAAGGGCACTGAAAAGGTGTGAGCGGCTCTGGAACAGCTCCGTGCAGCTTTGTGGAGCTGAAAGCAGCTCCAAAACTCCTCCAAAACCCTTCTCCACCTGTGAAATGCCTCCTAGGTGTTTGCAGCGGCTCTGAAGCACTCGAGCTCTTCTGGATGTCGGCAGCGCCCGGCGGCTGCGGGCCACCCCAGCCCACCTCGGGCAGCTTTGAAGAGCTCTTAAAAAAAACAGGAGTGCGTTTAAACAAACACGCTTTCAATAGCTTTATGGCTTTGCGGAGCTGTCGCGGCTCCAAAACTCCTTGGGGCCGCTCGGCAGCTTCTGCAACGCTCCTCGCAGCATCGCCACCGCGCTCCGGCCCTTCTGGCCCTGCCATGGGTGCGCCGCGAGCCCCCACCGTGGCCACGGTGCCGGCCCTGCGGCCACCCTGCTGCTGCCTTCCTGGGGTCGGGCACACCGAGCCCAGTGCTGGCTCGGCTCCATGGGCGAAAATAAATCACCCCGACCTCCTGGAGCACACCGCAGCACCGCCAGACCCTTCCTTGGGGAGCCAGCGGGCACCTCCGAAAGCCCCCAAATGCGGCCGGGATCACACCACGGTCGTGTCCTGCACCCCTGGGTGAGGACACAGCACCCGTGGGCTCCTCGTGGGGATGGGGGCGCGGGGCTGCAGCCCCCAGCCCGGGCCCAGCGCAGGAATGCGCTGCAGCCGCCGGGTGTTTACTCTCGGCCGGGCGGCTGGAGGGTGGTGAGGAGCAGGGCTGGCGCTGCGGGACCCTGTTTGGGGAAGGGATTCGCAGCTCCTTCCCTTCCACATCTGCTGCCAACCTCCCTCGCTGGGACTGGGGACCGGGAGGGGGCGGATTAATCCTTGGTGCCCCCCTCGAGCACCCCGCGGGGCTATCGGGGGGCAGCCCCTCGCCCATCGGTGCTGCCCCTTGGGACCCCCCGGGATGCTGGTGGGGAGCGGGGGTCCCTGCGGCTGGTGGCTGGTCCCCAGGGATGCTCCAGGATGCAGGACAGGGGATGGTAACACCCAGCGGGCACCCAAACACCTGGCGGGGAGGTGACAACAGGCGGCTTGCCTGTGCCACCAGGTTTTCCTCCTCTTGCTCCAAGCACGAAATCCCTGGCCTGTGGCGCACAGCCCACCCGGGACCCCCACCCACCCAGGACCCCCACGTCGAGCAGCACCAAGGCGGGTGCTGGGAGCATCCCTGGGAGGGGGCAGCGTGGGGCAGAGCCGCTGGGTGCCCCCTTTGCACGGGGGCTGCAGGGCCAGGGGGGGGGTCCCCAGCTCTGGCCACCGCTCTGCACGCCCACCTTGTGGGTGGCACGGGGGGGGGTCCCATCCTCCTCCAGCACCCACGGGTGACCCCATCCGCGGGGGGCGAGGGGTGCAGCATCCCAGGGTGGCCATGGGGATGGCAGGGGTCCAGCAGCGTGGGGTGAGGCTGGCGGGGGTTGGGACCACCGGAGCCCCCCAAGCCTGGCCCGGGGAAGCGGGTGGGGGGATCCAGCCGGGGCGGGGGCGCGGGCGGCGCCTCCCCCCCGCCGCCCCCGCCCCCTGCAGCCCTCCCCTCCCCTCCTCCAGCTCCTTTCCCCTCCTCCTTCGCCTGCTCGCCCGCACAGCCCGGGGCAGCCTCCGCCGTCCCGGTTCGGGCTGCGCTGCTCCGGTTCCGCTCCGGTTCCGCTCCGGTTCCCATGCGGTGCAGCCCCGCGGCCCCCCGCGCCCATGGCCCGGCTCTCGGTCAAGGAGCACCTGGACGGGATCCTCTCCGACTTCGAAGGTGAGGCCGGGACCCCCCCCCCCCAAAATCCTCCCCCGGGACCCCGCTGCCCCCCCCAGACCCCCACGCGGGGCTGCGCTCACGGGTGGGTGCGCGGGGCTGGGCTCGGTCCGGGAAGGGGTGCGCGTGTTTGTGTGTGTTTGTGTGTGTTTGTGTGTGCATTTACACGTGTGTGTGTGCATTTGTGTGTGCACATACACACTCATATGGGGGGGGTGCCTGTGCGCTCCCCCACGCGCGCACCCCGCGTGTTGCGCTCCCACCCATCGCTGCTCAATGGGGCCGGGCACGGGGAGCCCGATAGCACCGAGAAGTTTTTTTCCTTTTCTTTCTTTCCTTTTCTTTTTTTTTTTTTTTCCTTTTTCCTCTTTTTTTTTTTTTTTTTTTTTTTCCCTTTCGGCCCCAAATCCTCCCTCGCTGCTCGCCGGAGGCCGCGGCGGGTCGGGGCAGGGGTTTGGGAAGGGGCAGGGTGGGGAGGAGCGGGCGGCGAAACCTGACGCTGGGGCTGCTGCTGCCCTCGCCGGGGAGGAATGCGAGCACCTACCCCGGCCCCCCCGGGGCTGCTCCGCCGCCCCCGCCCTGCCCCTGGCTCCGGGCACCGCGGCCGGGCTGAGGATGGCGAGGGTGGCTCAGGGTTGGGGAAGATTTGGGGTAAAAGGAGGCGGTTTGGGGTACCCCCGGGCTGCGGCGATGGAGAGTGGAGCAGAGTGGGGGAGCCGCCCCCCCGTGTCCCCATCGCCCCCGTGTCCCCACCGCCCCCGGCAGCCTGGCTGCCTGGGAAATACCTGCCCTGCGGAGAGCTGTTATTAGCATCACCCCATGCCCTGGCCCCTGACCTCTGCCCAGCCCCGGGCACGGGGCCGGTGACCTGAGGAGGGGACGGGGCAGCAAGACCCAGCCCAGCCCCATCGCCCCTGGCCAGGTCCCCTTCGCCCCCACCCCACGGCCCCCATCCCATCGCCTCCACCCCATGGCCCCCACCCCATCACCCCACTGCCCCCAGCACCGCTGGGGCCGTGGCCAAGCCAGGGGATGAGGCTGAGGAAGAGGAGGACGAGGGTGGCCTCGTGCCGGTGCACGTGGCGGCACGGTGGGGAGGACGGGGCGCCGCGTGGGGCTCCCCGCCGCAGGCAGCGCTCGCTGGGAGCTCTCCGTGGGGAGCCGGCACCAAACGGTGCCGCTTCGGCAGATCTGGCAGGAACGCGGCTCCCGGGGGGCCCCGCGCTGCCGAGAGAGGGAAGGAGGGAGGAAAGGAGGGAGGGAAGGAGGGGGCGGCCGCCCCGCGAAGGCGCTTCCTGCCCGCGGGGGCTTCGCGGGGGTCCCGGCTGCTCAGACCCACCGCGGCGGTGCCTGGCCGAGCCGTGAGGGATCGGTGCCCCCCAGGGAGCGGGGTGCCCGGCCTGGGTCCCGGCTCGCCCCCCGCCGCTGCCAAACGCCCCGTGGCAGGAGGCTTTGCTCCGCAGCCAGCTTGCTGCGATGCCCAAAGGGCTGCGAGTGGGCGGGGGGCGCGCGGGGGAAGCGGGAGGCGCGTTTGCACCGACAGGAGCCCCGGGGACGCGGCGTGGGCTGGTGGTTGTGGTTAGATCTGTGAACCCTCCCGCCTGCTGCTTGTGGGGAAGTGGAAGAGCCCTTGGCAGGGCTGCGGGGGTCCGCAGAGGCTGAGCACGTGCCCTGTAACGTTCCCGCTGCACGTAGCGATAGCGCTGGCCCGCCTCGCCATCAGTAGGCTTCAGGGTTAACGCCCTGGAACAGGGCAGGAATCCTCAGCGCTGGTGCCCGCAGCTGGAGCTGTGCTCCTGAGGGATGCGGGACGAGAGGGTCCGGCGGGGATCTGGTTACGCGGGGCCGGATCCCTTACAGGGGAATAAAGCGGGCAGTGTGCTGCGCGGGGGAGCCGGGGAGGCAGCGGCACCGGCCGGCCGTGCCCGCAGATAAGCCGGGGAGAACAATGCCGTGGGGCCGGCCGCAGCGATCCGGTTTCCCATCCAGGCCGGGCTCACAAACGGCTCTTTGGCACCCGGCTGCATGGGGGGGGACTCTGGGTACCCGGGGCAGGGGGTGTCTGATGAGCTCAGGGCTCAGCCGCGGCTCTGCCCACGCCGGGTGCCGTCGGGTGCCCCTCTCACACCACCTCTCTCTCACCCAGCGCTCAAGAAGTCGTTTGAGGCAGAGGACACGGAGGATGTGGACGAGGTGCCCGGCTCCCCTGCTGCGTCCCCGCTGCCCTCGGGTGCCGTCGAGAGCCACCGCTTGCTGCAGCC